ATTATTTTTTTTCATAAAATAAAATATAAATATTCATTTATTATTATTATTTTTCAAAGTTTTTAGAATTTGTTTGGTTTTGATTTTGGTTTGAACAAAATTTAATACTATTCAATGTGTATAATTGTTTATAAAAGTATAACATTATTTTTTCATAAAATATATATTAAAAATAATATTTTAAACCAAAACTTCATACTAAAATCAAACCAAACAACTTTTAAAGATCACATCTAGAAGAAGTTGATATGTAAGTAGATAACTTTAGGCTTTGTTTACACAATAATTTTAAATATTTTGACATTATTAAATTTTCAAAAAATCACATTTAAATATATTTTTAATTCATAAAATATCATATTAAATACTACCTTGTTCCCATAAAATCAGTAATATTTATTTTTTCCACGTAGATTTTTGAATATTAGTATTATATTGATTTACAGTGAAAATGACAAAATTGCCCTTATTAGATTGTGTGATATAAAAGTAATAGTATTTGTATAATATATTTGAAATTGTAAAGGTATTAATTACGTTAGGTACGTAGTATAATTACTAAATTAGAAAATTATACCCTTATTTTGGAAGAGATAAATATAAAAAATTGTATCCTTATTATGGAACGAGAGTATAATTTCTTTTATTACTTTTAAATTTTCAAAATTTCAAAACTAATAAAAAAAAGAAAAAAGGGTTAATATTGGCACAGCAAAAGATGAAGTCAAGAAACAATAAAATAAATGAGGTATCTAATTCCTACTTAAGGTGTGATGCCAAAGTTTAATTGAATAGATTTTTAATTTAATTAATTATTTAACCACAGACTAATTAATGCACCCCCACCATCATAAACCTCTTGCTGGACCACTTGTTTGCCTTTAACATTTTTTTCTTTTCTTTTTCATATTTTTTTTTAGATTCAAAAAATAATACCCTCTCTGTCTAATCATATTTTTACGGGATTATATTTACCTCTTTTGCATCATTCTATTTAATATTAAAAATATATTTATATTTATATATATATATATTTACAAATATTGTTACATCAGAATTACGTAACAGAAGTATTTTTGTCATTTTCTCCTGATTTATACAATGTCTTAATATAATAATTAATATTCAAATATCAACACATACAAAATAAATGTTAACGGACGAAATGAGTAAAATTTTAAATTCAAATATTTCTTTACTATGATATAAATATTTATTCAATATAACATTTTAAATAAATACTCCATCCGTCCCAGAAAATATGAAACTATTACTGTATATACGAGATTTAGGTAAAGTATAATTAGTAAATAATTAAGAAGTGTATTAGTAAAAATAATTATAGATTAATATTAAGATAAATAAATAGTTTAATTAAAATTAAAAAAATCATAAAATTTAAAATTTAAAATGCGATTAAAGTGCATAGTATATTTGATGAAAATAGAAAATAAGGACAAATTACGTGGGACGGAGAGAGTAAAATTTTAAAATTGTGATCTATTCAATGAAAATAAATGTTCAAAGTAATTTTTAAAAGAAAAATTGATGAGTTGTACATAATTTGTATAAGAATTATACAAGATAAATTATATAACATTTTTTTGTATTTAATAAAAATGTACTCCATCTATTCCAATACAATAATCTTGTTTACCATTTTTGTCCGTCTCAAAATAATAGTTTTATTTTCATAAATAATTATATCACCATAAAATTACACATATTTTTTCATTTTTATTACACAATTCCCCTATTTTTTACACTAATACACTCACAAGGGCAAAAAAGTCTTTTGTTCATACTTTTTACCGACTACCAATATAAAATCAATATTCCTTAAATCTCGTGTCCAATCCAATTAAGACTATATTTATGGGACGGAGGGAATATAAAATTTGTTGTATTGAATTAAAATTTGTATAAAATATTACATTTATCTAAAATTGATGTTTGAATGTAAATACCGACCTAATTATACAACATATTTTTTTACAAATAAAAAATAAAAAAAAGTACACAATTTGAAAATTGCTTTGAATAGCAATCACGACCATTGTTTTCCATAAATATTTTGGTTGATTTTTTTTTTTTTTTTCGGAATATTTTGTTTTAATCCACCAAAATTCAACTCGTATGGTTTATAATATAAATATAACTATTTAAAACATATTATATTAAAATATTATTTTAATTTTTATGTAAACTCAACTAAAATTTAATCACAAAATATATTTTATTTAAATAATACTAATAATAAAGCCATTATATAACATTAAAAATACAGTTTAATAAGACAATGACTGTTGTTTTATAATAGGTGGAGTGTGCTGTTAACATAAGAAAGATGATTCCAGAAATATATATGTAATAATTTATTACTATTAATTAATGAGTTGGTGAATTATGGGTTTCCAAGTCAAATTTATTTTTTAATTACTCTCTCCGTATCTAATATGAGTGTATTACTGTAGACATGGAAATTTAGTAAAGTATAATCAGTAAGTAATTAAGAAATATATTAGTAAAAATAATTATTATTTAGTAAAAATAATTTTAGATTAAGATTAAGATAAGTAAATAGTAATTAAAATTAATAAAATTATAAAATTTAAAATTTTAAAGTGCATAATTATATTTCTAAAAATAAAAATGACAAGATATGTGAGACGGATGAAAATAGAAAATAGGGACAAATTATGTGGGACGGAGGGAGTATATTGTAAGATTTCTTCGCCTTTCGTTATTTTAAATTTAATTTTTTTTATCCTACAATTCATATAATTTTTAACACAAATATTAAATTTTCTTATATAATATTGTTAATAAAACCATTATTAAGATAAATAAATAAATAAACAATTCAATTGAAATTTTAACGCTTTGTTTGGACTGTGGGCAGGGCTTCCTCAGGATGTACTAGGAATATAGTGTGATTGAAAAATTACATTACTAAAAATAAGAAAAGAAAAACAAAACCAAACATCTGGCTATGTTTATTTTGATGAGTTCGAGGAAAATTTTATTTGAGTTTGATATTAAAATAATGTATTATAAAATATTTTATTAAAAAAAATATTTTATTTTTTTTAGAAATGTAGAGTGCAAACTGTATAAACTTTAAATCCACTATTTATCCCATTTTTTTTCTCCAAAAATATAAAATCAAACGTCTATTTTCTATTTTTTATATTAAACTAAAAATTAATTTTACATTCGAAATATCACATCAACATCTATTTATATCACATCATACAACTATTAAAATTTAAATTTTTTATTATTTAAATCCCAACTCAAAATTCAAACCTTATTTTTTAAATTTGTCCAAAAAAAATAAAATTACTATTTATAGCAATAATTTTCTATTTTTATTTTTTTACATTATTTTTATTTATCCATCAAATCTAAGTTTTTTTTAAAAAATTTGTCCACAAAAAATATATATTACTATTTATAGCAATAATTTTTATATATTTTCAAAATTTTCTACAGTTAATATTCTATTTTTATTTTTTTTACATTGTTTTATAAAATGCTAATTTATCTTAATTTGCATCCAAAAATCAAATTAGAAGTTTATTAATAGATAGAGGAGTAATTTTTTATTGTTTAATAAAAAATTTTTGATATTTTCATCATTTTATTTTATTTATAAATTAATTCTATGTATAACTATATCTTTATAATTTATGCATAATTAAATACTAATATTTTCATACTAACATTATTATTTTTATTATAATAAAAATATAATATTTTTAAAATACTCAGCAAAAAAAAGAACACTTTGAATTGAATTTATATAATGAAAAATTATTTCTGTAAATATTTTTGGACGAACAAAGCCATAAGTAACAAAATTAAACTTAAATACACTTATTATAACTTACTAAAAAAATACCCCTTTCATCATTCAAATTTATATATATATATATATATTTTTGGGTTATCATTAGAAAAATATAATCATTTTATTTTTAAATAAAAATCATTACACTTTTGTATTTTTTACTATAAAAGAAAAAATAATAATTATTTACTCCCTCCGTCCCATAACTACATATTGATTTGCTTTTTATTTTAAAAATATTAGTATTATATTAAAATGTAATAGGAATAAAGTAGAAATGTCTAAAATAACTTTATTAGTATTGTGTATATAAAAATAATAATATTTGTGTAATATATTGTAAGTTGTAAGGGTATTTGTAATATTAGGTAAATAGTACAATTACTAGAAAAACAAATAAATATTTTATTATGGGACTTAGTAAAATAAAAAAAATGCATAATTTATTATGAGACGAGAAAGTATTAAAATTTGTATCCAGTCATATGAGCGTTACTCTCTCCATCTCACTTCTCATGTCCACGTTTTCATTTCTATCTATCCCAATTACTTTATCACTTTTTTTTTTAAAAAAAGAATTATACACTTTAATTTTATTTTAAAGAATTTAATTTATAATATTTTTTATTTTAAAGAATTTAATTTATAATTTTTTTATTTTAATTATATTAATCAGTTATTTTAATTTTAATTTATAATTATTTTTATTATATGATAATTATTTTTACTAATATATTTTTAATTATTTATTATTTATACCCCTCTTAAATTCTCGTGTTTACAGTAAACCAACCGACAAAATATCATGACGGAGAGTATCATTTAGCAAATTTGACTAGAAACAATCCATAGGTTGTGCAGCTCCCAACTGCCATGGGGCCCACATTAACGGCTTCATAACAAATTTGGAAAGTCGCATTTTCTAAATCCAGTCCACACAACGGCGCCTTTCCTTATTTATCTTATCGAAGCCATTCCAGCCCATGCTATCCCTGTGCTAACTTGCGCCTCCGTTTACACGTGTCCTTCGGCCACCGCCTCCAGAGTTTTACGTGGGAAACAGTGAAGGAGTGTGCGCGTGGCCGCCCCCGCGCATTTTAGCCGTCCCCATCCGCCATATAAATATTCATTTTTTTGGCCCACCGTTCTCTGCAATGGGCGCTTAAAATACTCACCTAATCCCCGAATCCGGACGATTTCTTCTCGACTCCAATATGGATTCAATCGCGGTTCTCAATGCGGCAGAGACAGCAGCAGATTTGGATTAAAGTATTGGAGGATTCTGTACGAGCGTTATCTTTTTATGGCTTGTGTTGGATACAGAGGTGTATAAAGCATATGCTCTGCACAAGCGTAGGCACGACTGGCGTTCTCCTTTTCTTAGGGGGATTTTTAGTGTGAATTTGATTGTTTTTGTTCGTTTTCTGAATTATCCGCAGCTTTGCTGCTTCTGTTGGTGTGTTTTTTGTGTTTTTTTTGGATTTGAGGAAGCAATCGCGTCTGGATTCGTGATCAGTTGCTTCTGTTGATGGTAGTTTGGCGGAATCGGTGCAGATTGTGTTTTGTGTTTTTGAGTTTTTGTTGTTTGGATCTTCAAGTAGAACAAGATGCCGCATAGAACGACTTACTTCTTTCCTCGGCAATTTCCGGACCGAAATTTGAACGAATCGTCGAAGTTCGTAGAGGAACACGAGAAGAAATTTGAGATCGGCGATGGAAAGGCAGAGGTGCGTCAATTCGAAGACGTCGCAATCAAACCAGAAAGAAACAAGTTCGACGCTACTCGTGCGGATAAAGACGATGAAAGCAACAGCTATCGTGTTGTCTCTCATGGAGTCACGGGGGACAAGATTCACGGAAAGCAGCTGGCCGCCTTCGTAAAGTGGCTTTCCGACAAGAAAAAAAGAGAGAAATCAAAAAGCCATGCCGATCCTGTGAACATCACCTTGTACGAAAACGACGACGACGTTATTGAAGTCGCAGATGAAGTGAGACAGCGCCTTTTGCCACCGCCGGCGGTGGAGTCTGACCGGCGCCACAGTACTCTCCGGCGACGGTTTAATAACGGAAGTAGCTATAATAGCCCCGCGGATCATGCCCAGGCAAAGGAAAGGGGATTCGAGAGGCAAGCTTCTCTCCAGAGATTATCCAGCTGCGGGAGCACGAGTTACGCCGGGAGCTTGTTTTCAGGGACGACTGTGGACGGAAATTGGTCATCGCTTACTAGTGGAGTACTCAAGGATTCCTCCGCCATTAAAGAGGATGCTGAGGAGGATGACCGCAGAGTAAGAGAAGATGAAGAAAACGGATTGGCGCTGAGGTATCGTTAATATATATATATATAACTATTCATTCATGATCGTGAAATTTAGTTGTTTTCCGTACCCTAACAGGTACAACGAAGGTTACCAATTGCAGTTGCTCCTCGCCAAACGCCTCGCTGAGCAGGCGACGCTTACAATCGAGCCTCTGCTTCGGCAAGAACGGAGAATTTGTGAGGGCGTTATAATTGGCGGATCTTCTGACGCTGAAATTGTCTCCTATCGTTTTTGGGTATGGTATTGTCGGAACTAATTTTGCTTTTGTGCGAGTTCAATCGGCAGTTCTTAGCATCGTCAATGTTTTGTTGTTTCAGGTGAGTGGTTGTTTGTCGTACGCCGACAAAATTTCCGATGGTTTCTACAACATTTTGGGAATGAATCCCTACCTCTGGCTGATGTGTAACGATATGGAGGATGGTGGGAGGATGCCTTCATTAATGGCGTTGAAAGCAGTTGAACTGGACGAGGCATCTTTGGAGGTGATTCTTGTAGACAGACGAGGAGATTCACAGCTGAGGGAGCTCGAAGATAAAGCTCAAGAGATGTTTTTTTCGACCGAGAGTATGCTAGCCCTGGCGGAGAAGCTTGGCAAATTAGTTGCTGTCTATATGGGGTATGTTCTTTCATATATATCTGTACTAGGTTTGCTATCTGCTTGTGTGTTTTCTTTGAGCTCTGAAAATGGAGTTTATGGATTTGAAGGGGCTCCTTTCCTGTGGAGCGTGGCGACCTTAATCTTTGCTGGAAAGTGGTCAGTGAACGCCTAAAGGATTTCTACAAATGCATTGTGATTCCAATAGGTAACTTATCGGTGGGACTTTGCCGGCACCGAGCTATATTGTTTAAGGTGAATGCATAACCTGTTAACTTGTTGCTAATGGATTATTTCCTTAGAATCCTTTTATCTTCTCCGATTTGCATCGAAATCTATAAAACTATCACTGTGCTTGCTAGAATTGCTACTTTTTCCGGGCCGGGCTTTTCAGATTGTGTAGATATGACCTTGTGATCCATATTCATTTTTTACTCGAAGATAATCCTCATATGAATTCAGCATTTTGATGTTCACTTCTGTGTACAGAAACTAGCAGATTATGTAGGTTTGCCTTGTCGGATTGCACGCGGTTGCAAATATTGTGTTTCGGACCACCAGTCTTCGTGTCTTATTAGAATTGAAGACGAAAGGAAACTTCTAAGGTAAGAAACTCTCTCCAACTATGATCTAATTTGATAATTGATTATCCAACATGTTTTTTCCTCACATGGATGATGAAGGTCACAGCCCCCTTTTTTAATTTTCTTTTGGCATGTCACCCATGTTTGGGGTTCCTTCGGTATTATTATATAAGATCTTAACACATAACCAATAAACGAGCTTTAAGACGTTGATATCGAACACAAGAACAGTGTTTATATGAGCAATTATATGCTACACATTTCTGCTTGTTTAATGCTTACTTTTCTAAGCAGGGAGTTCGTAGTTGATCTAATTGGACAACCGGGGAACATCCACGGTCCAGATGCATCAATTAATGGATGTTCAGTGTCGTCTGTGCCTTCGCCGTTTCAAATATCACATTTAAAAGAATTTCAGCAAGATCTAAACGATGAGATAGACCATCAATCAACAAACTTGAAGCATGCATATATCAGTAGCAATCCTACATATTCAGGTGTTCTTTTGCAAATACTGCATCCACTCTCCTATGTTCCATTGAATTCCTTTTGATTCGACAACTAGTTAAATTTCGATTCACCATATTTCTTTAATTATCAAGGATGATGCCCTTCCTAGTTGGTCGTCAACTAAAATCTGCATTCTTGATAGTGCGACGGTTATCATCAATTAGTGTGTTTGCTTCTTCCCGGAAAAATGCTTGAACATGTTTTCTTTCAAATATCCTCTATAATCTCTATCTTTTTTGTCTTCGTACTTAATATTAATAAAATTTAGCTTATAGCGATCTCCAGTAGGCCTAACCTTCCAATCCTTTGTATAATGAGGACTAATTGTAATAACTAGAGGCATGTGGGCAATGACAAGGAAAAACAAAGGATGAGAAAAATGAATAGAAGAAAAAAACATAAACTTACCTATTGGTGTATCGATTTCAAAATGTGTTGGTTTTTTGCAGTCAATGGAAATGAAGTGAAGGATATTATTTTTCCCGAAATCCCAAGAGATGATGGGTGTGGCCTCGAAGTTCTTGATGTTACTGGTACTGCTATATCCGCAGGTAATTATTCTCGTCCGGGGGTTGATAGGATTATCCTAAAACAATCTTACGAAGAGAAGATGGTTGTAGCAGATGTGGTTTCTTCTCAAGGTGACATACCTCCGAAAGTAACCTTTCCTGGAAGTGACGATTTAATGGAGATTGAAAATAAGTGCAAGGATCATGGCAAGCACACTGCTGCCATAATTCCAAGATACTTGAATCTGGAGCCTTCTCTTGCCGTAGATTGGCTCGAAATCTCATGGGATGAATTACGCATCAAGGAACGCATTGGTGCTGGTACATACTTCCGACGACTTTATCTAGTGCCTATTTAAATTGTCAATAGTTTCATTTATTTAGTTATGTTGTCTTGCGGAAATTATGGATTATAGTCACTTTTCTATTGACAGGATCATTCGGCACTGTGCATCGAGCTGAGTGGCATGGATCGGTTGGTATTCTAAGACTCTTGATTTTATTAACTATTATCGATTCATTATTGTATCTAATCACAAAGTTCCATTAATCTGTGAGGCAATTGTGATACTTCTTCATTATGCACGAGTGTTTCCACTTTTCGATAAACATAACTACGGATTCTGTTTGTTAGACATTTTGGTTTTGTAACTTAATAGACTATTTTTATGCAAAAATTAAAAAAATAATAATAATGGTAAAATTTAACCTTATCATGTATGATAAATGAATGATTCAGTTTATAAAGTAATAACAATCAATCTCACTGTTCTTCTGGATAGTCAATTAAGTGTATGCATATTCTTCTTTTATTGCAGGATGTTGCAGTTAAGGTTCTAACTGTTCAAGATTTTCAAGATGATCAGTTGAGGGAGTTCCTCAGGGAGGTAGGATTAGTACTATTGTTAAATGGATCTTTTTAATGGTTGTTTCGAAAATTGCCGATCGGGAACAATTTAAAAATACTCCTCTAATCATCTAGTGATAAATAATCAATTGAGGGGGCTTTACATTTCAGTTGAGCCTTATAGAAGTCGCAAGTTTTTGCGAGTGCCAGAAGCCAACTTCCTAATCCATGTCGTGCTCGCTATTAGTCTTTTTTACCTTCGAAATAATTGTCCTTTATATTTCGAGTCTGAACTGCTATTTGTTATAGTGTGAAATTTATTTCACAGATCCTAGCTATTTGTATGTGTTACCTTCTTAAAAAACATTCTCAAATCGCCATGCTAATTTCAGTTTCATTTTGTTTACACTAATTCTTCTTTTATATCCTTTTTTTTAAGGTTGCCATTATGAAACGTATCCGTCATCCAAATGTAGTTCTCTTCATGGGAGCTGTTACCAAGCGTCCACATCTATCAATAGTAACCGAGTACTTACCGAGGTATATATTCTAAAGCTTCAACAAAAACCATCTATGGACCGAGACTATCTACATTTGCTAACCTGTGTATTGTCGATATTCTCTGGCCAGAGGAAGCCTATATCGATTGATACACAGACCAGCCGCAGAGGAAAATTTAGACCAGAAGCGCCGACTACGCATGGCTCTCGACGTGGTTCGTTTGATTTCCCTTACCTGATTCCTCGACACACATACTCCTATCGATTAATTTTTCATGTATTGTATGCAGGCAAAGGGCATCAATTATCTCCACCGTCTTACCCCTCCCATTGTTCATTGGGATCTAAAGTCTCCAAACCTATTGGTCGATAAGAATTGGAGTGTTAAGGTGATTCTCCTGCGCTCTTCTAGAAGCTCACACAATAAGTTCATAACTCAACATCGGTTTTGACGATATTTCTTAGGTGTGCGATTTTGGTTTGTCGAGGTTCAAAGCGAACACATTCATCCCGTCGAAGTCTGTTGCTGGAACAGTAAGTATCTCTCACAATCGTCAGCCTAACTAAGCACATGACATCTATTTAATAAAGTGAAGTGTTTTCCTTTACTTTTCCAAAATATGGCCTCTTTGATATAGATTAACTATTTCACTTTCGAAAACAATATATCCGATAATTTGCATCATTGAACATGTGTATATGACGTTCCGACTATTATTTATAACCGAAATCAGCTATTGTGATCATACATCTTTGCAGGTTGAAGTCTGCATGTAACTCTCTTCCTTTTCATTTCAGCCGGAATGGATGGCCCCCGAATTCCTCCGCGGAGAGCCCTCCAACGAGAAATCCGACGTGTATAGTTTCGGAGTAATTTTATGGGAGCTCGTCACAATGCAACAACCTTGGACCGGACTTGGCCCCGCCCAGGTTAAACTTTAAATTTCATTCTTATTCCATTCACCACGCCAAGGGCCGGTTTTGTACAATATATCACGGATTGGTACAATATATCAAAAATATCGGATTATATCGTATATTGTACCGAATTTTTTTATATATTAAAAAGTATATTGGTACGTTGGTATACCGAAAAATCGGTATGACAAATATATATGTATATAAATATCGAAATATTAAAATTTATTTTATAATTCAAAAAAAGTTGGAACTAATAATTTTTGTAAAAATATATTGAATTATCGATATACTGAAAATTAAAATATTAATATAGTATACTGTATTTTTATAGATACCGGTATATATTGAAAATGTCTATCATACTGTGTATACTATACTGTACTGAACTTTTTGGTATGTTGAAATTTTGATATCTTTCAACTTTTTTTCACCGACACCTAGTGCTTGAAATTTTTGCACCTATCAGGTGGTCGGCGCCGTGGCTTTCCAGAATCGACGGCTGACAATCCCCCCAAACACCTCGCCGAAATTGGTGTCGCTTATGGAGTCCTGCTGGGCCGAGTAAGACTTCTTCCGAATCCATTTCATACATTCAAATTCGCTGTATACCGATACCTATACCGGTCGTGTTTCTGAAATATATATATATATATATAACGGCTACTAAAGCAACCCGGCGCAACGACCGTCGTTTGGCGAAATAGTTGATACATTGAAGAAGCTTCTGAAATCTCCATTGCAGCAGCTAATACAAACAGGCTGTACGTGAGCTATATCATCAGGTACGTCGTATATACCCGCTGTTGTTCGACTGCCTTATTTTCGGTTTTTCATTTTCATTTTTATTTTTCGTGTTTGTTTTTTTTGGTTTACAACGTGCTTATTTATCTTGTAATGAGCAAGATTTGTGGTACTGCTAGAAATGGCTTACTGATAAATTGGGGGATGGACGCCATACAGTTAGTTATCTTAACAATAAAATTTTGTCAGCAACTCTGCTTTCAAGTCTCTTAACTGTAAGATATGGACAATCAAATTCAAGGCTTGTTGCTACAAAGAAGTTTATGAAATCGCATTTCTATTTATGAACACGCTTTTAGATAGTTTCAAGAATCCTGTTCCATTCAATATTTCACTTATTTTAAACATCTCTCTGTCTCTCTGTATATGTATATATTTATATACAATCTGTGTTCTGGATAAGATTATTATTGTGTATGGTGTTAATGATACTTTAAAAAGTGACACCATATATAATATAAATTAACAATAAAATATTTGTATTAATATAATAAATGTATTATATTAGATTTCATGTTAATTGAAGTCTTGTGTATGTGCTTATTGGTTCTAATTACCATTTTAACTTATACTCCTTTCGATCTATATTTGCAATATTTTGTTTTTTTTTTTTTTTTTTTTTGTCGTATTAAATACTCTGGAATATTTTTAAAATATGAGCTAATTTATTTTATTTAATTTTTATATCATATTTTATCTATTATATCATTCAAATAAAAAATACATAAATTTTTCTTTTTCATCGTATAATTTAATTCTTAAATGATTCTATTTAATATATCTATCTAATTTTTTTTTATTGAAAAAATAAATATATATATATTATACTTTAATGAGTGGGCGTGAAGCGGTGCTTAAAAAATGGGGTGAGGATCCCCATACTAGTTGGAAATATTTGGGGATTTGGATTTTGATTTGGAATTTGAATAATAAAAATTTTGAATTTGAATAGTTATATGATAGTAATATAAACAGGTGTTGATGCGATGTTTTGAATGTAAAATCGATTTTTAGTATAATATAAAAAATAAAAAATAGGTGTTTGATTTGATGTTTTTGGAGGAAAAGAAAATGGAATGAATATTGGAAATTTAATCCAATCCCCCGAACAAACACACGTAATTAAAATTTGAATTTAATGATTCGGATAGAGATTGGAACTTCTGATTTAATGTTTTAAAGGAAATGTGGATTTCGAGAGATGGAGATGGTTTTTAGGGAGTTATTATTATTATTATTATTATTATTATTATTATTATTATTTAATGAATAAAGCAAAAATAAGTTGGGAAACATTTATTTTTCAATCTGGAATCTATCTATTTATTTGTATGTAAGTTTTAAATTTTTAATATTTTTATATGTATTTGTACATAAATTTTGAAATATTAATATTATATATAATAGCGGTGGGTACTTGATTCAGCACTGTGTTGAATAGCGCATTATATAATAACAAACGGCACCATGTATAATTTTCCGCAGTATATCTCTTATATTAATAGAATATAAATACAGCACCAACAACCCACCTTGTAATAACAAATATTACATTGTATCACTTTTGACAACATATTTTTTATATTAGTAATATAATATAAACACTACAAATATATTAACAGCACATATTATAGTCACATATAATATACAATAATTGATTTTAATACATGACATATTCTTATACAATAAATTATAAACAAATAGTACATGTCTTTATAATACACAATATGTAAGAAAAATATGTATTATTTATATATATTATATTTTCTGATTTGAAAAATCAGCACTATAATCATTCCTCGGTGTATATCTTTGACAAAGTTCTAATTTAGTAAAATAAAAAGATGCGTAATTTTCTAGTCTGATTTCAGACATTATCAAACTGAAAATATATCATAGATTGATATATACACACATTTATATTGATTATATAGGATAGCGAGAAGTACGGGTTTGTTCACCTAATATCTTTTATAGTAAGTTTTGCTATAAATATTACAAAAAAAAAAAATAATATATATATACATATATATATTATATTCTACAAGTTTGTTCGCATAATATTTATCAATAGAACGATTCTCAATAGATATTGTTTAAAAGTATAATATATATACTCATTAACATAATATATAATATATACTTTTATATTTATTCACAAAAATCAATAATTTAATACAAATATTATTTATTTATTATAAACAGCTTTTTATACCTACCATATAAGATTCAATAACACAAATTGAACAATTTCTATTTATTCCTATAAAGTTAATAATTCAAAATTAAATATTTTTTAATACTATATTATTGATACAATTCTCCATACTAATAAAATATATTTATCTAAAAATATAAAATAAACAATTCTATATAGTTGGGCACGTTTAAGTCAATATCAGTCTTATTATATAAAATATATTTATTTTCTTGTCATAAAAGATATAAAATTATATTATTTTTATATATTTTGTTTACATTAAAATAAAAAAAGTAAAAATTATTATCAATTTCTATTAAAATATGTTTCTATATAATAAACATAAAATTGGACGACGATAGGAGTAATATTTATTCATGTCATTTAGATTTGAAATGATGAGCTGTGCTGTTGGTTTCAGTTAAGATTTGGTAAAATCATTTGGATATTATTGAGTAAGATGATACTGAATATCATCATCTATGTTTGTATATATTTATTTCAACTTTGGTTGACGTAAAGCTCATCTATGTTTTCTTGATATTTATAGTTATATATCTCGCCTATAGTAATTATTTCGTTATAGTTGAAAGTATATTTTTATTAATTTCATTCAAAAGTAATTATTTTTTATTATAATAAAAATAATTATATAATAATATTAAAATAATTTCAATTTTTATATAGATTATAAACATAGGGAGTAAATTCCGGTCAAATTGACTGATCAGTATATATGATATATATATAAACAACGTATATTTTTATATACTCCCTCCGTTCCGTATCCATTTACTTTTTGCATGGAATTTTAGAAATATTAGTATTATACTAAGATATAGTATGAATAAAGTAGAAATGACCAAAATAACCTTATTAGTATGTGTAATATAAAGGTAATGACATTTGTGTAATATATTGTAAGTTGTAAGGGTATTTGTAATATTAGGTAGATAGTGCAGTTACTAAAAGAGGAAATTGATGCTTTGTTATGAGACGAACTAAAATGAAAAAATAGATACTTTGTTATGGGACGGAGGGAGTAATACATGTGTTGTGTGATAAAATATATTATTACATAAAGCACAAAGGGTAAAAATTTCAAAATCATCTCACTTGTTTCTACTAATTAATAAAATATTACTCTCTCCGTTCCAAATCAACTGAGCACTCTGGGGTTTTGTAGTGAAAGTATATAAAAAAATTTGGCATTTTTGTCCTTTAACTTTATATATAAGATAATTATATATGTAATATCATATTTGTAATTTAAGTAAAAATTAATGATATTTTAGTATTAGCGTTTTTTTTAAAATAGGAATGTGATACTTTTGAAGTTAAACATACAAAAATGATAAAAATATTTATTTGAATTGAGATGGAGAGAGCATTATTTTTAATTTACTAGAAAAATTAAATGTATACTTCGGGATGAAGGGAATGTATTATACACTATAATGTTAAATAGTAATTTTTCTGTTAGCTAAAGTTATGTCTTTTTTTTTTTTTTTTTCTACTAAATTTATGCACAATTTACCTATAATAACAAATTCTATCAACCTACAATTTTATTATTTATATTTTAACATATAATAATTAATTTACTACTATTGTTTAATCAATTTATCATACTTTTATCAATTATTTAATAATTTTTTTAATACTTTTACTTCTTATCTATTCATTTTAAGATTAACACGTTATTATTTTTAATTTTTGTGTTCAAATAAAAATTATATCGTTTTGTTTTTTTTTTTGTTTTTTTTTTGTTTTTTTTTTCTGATAGAGGGAATATATGTTTTTTCATTGGTTGATTTAAAAAAAAAATGTATTTTTGTGTGTTTGTTTTGAAGATATTTTTTTTTTCACGAGATTATACAAATAATATAAAAATAATTAGTATATAGTATATTATTTTTTAAAAAAAATATATTAAAAAAATTTGGAAAAAAAAAAACAAACCCTTGTTGTTTCGTTGCTTATAAACTATTAATCAATACAATGCATACAATAAAAAAAATATATATAGTTTTGACCGTATATAAAATATATATAGACAATAGATATAAAATACTCCCTCCGGTCCACGGATAAAGTATACATTTACTTTTGACGCGGTGTTTAAGAAATAATAGTATTTTAATTACAGTGAGTAGTTAAAAGTAGTGTAATGACATTTTTGCCCTTGTTTTTTGGTATAAAAGTAACGATATGATGTAAAGTAAGGATATTTGTGGAAAAAAGTGAGGTATTTAATGAAATATTTACTTTGTAATTGGACGTTCCAAAATAGAAATATGTATACTTTCTAGTTTGACATAGTGAGTATATATTAACATAATACAAATACTATGACATATGAGTTATCAATATATAATAATAATTTATATAACATATTTTTATCATTTTCAAACATAACACTTTTGAAAAAAAAAAAAAAATCTACAATAATTCTCGTTCAATTTTATTTTATTTATTATGCATTTTTAAAAAAATATTATATCTAATTATTATTTAAATAATAATACAAAAACAAATTAAATGCATGACACTATTTATTTTTATTATTTTAGAAAAAAGTGATGAGAATTGGATATTTTGTTTCTAATCGGCCCAAACTCAAACCCACATGACCCGACCCGGATCCATATAAACAAACCCATTTAGATAAGATGTTTATATAATCACCCAATGGCGATTGAAGACCCATTTTCTTCTCTTCTCTTCTCTGTTCCGGTCTGAAATCGACGCAAGAAAGAGTGATTTGTTCCTTCTTCTCAGGTCGTATCCACACGATAAGGTATGTTTGTGATCTGAGCCTACCAAATTATTTCATATATTTTCTTATATTATAGCACTGTTTTTCTTAATTTATATTTATTTTTATTCTAATTATTGGTACTAACCTACTAATATTCTTAGTGAGTATTATTTGGTTACAAGAACAACCCAAACAAATTATTAACAGGGACATGAATCACAACATATGTTATAGAGGTGACCAATATATATTTATATATATTTTAACATATTATAATACAATATATATTATACTCCCTCCTGTCTCAATACAATAGTCTTGTTTACCATTTTTGTTCGTCCCAAAACAATAGTCTCATTTCCATAAATAACTATATCACCATAAAACTATTTCTACTTTCTCATTATTATTACTCCATTTCCACTATTTTTTACACTGATATACTCACGATGGAAAAAAAGTCATTTATCCTTACTTTTTACCAACTATCAATATCTCGTGTACAACACAATAAGACTATACTTTTGGGATGGAGAGAATATTATAATTCAATAGTCAATATGCTATCTTGTAATACATCATATCTGAAATATATATATATATACTAGTACAAACGCACGGGAAATTGTTATTTTGGAAATGAAGGACATGATAGACTTTTCAAGTGGCTGTTCCGTACAATCTGGTGTGTGCCCTCAGGTTGTTTGGTCTAGTCGGTTGGTCTGGTTGGTTTTTTTCGGTCGGATTGTCCGGTGAGATGCTTAGCCGTCGGATAGGCAGGCCGGAAGGTACTCCGTCGGTTTCTTCTTGGTTCACGGGTCAGGGTCGGTTGTTTAGTCTGGTCAGTTGAACCTCATTCGGATGGTATGCGGTCGGGCAAACAGGTCTGATCGTCAGCAGGTCGGACAGGCAGGTGTGATAGTCTGCAGTCAGATAAAGTAGCTCTGCTGGTCTGCGGTCAGATATACAAGTCAGTTGGTCGGGAGGCAGATAAACAGGTCGCTTGGTGAAGGGGTTTGACAGCGTTTCATCTTGGTGTGGTTGGTTGTTTTCGGTCGGATTGTCAGGTGAGATGCTTAGCAGTCGGATAGGCAGGCCGGAAGGTCCTCGGTCGGTTTCTTCTTGGTTCACGGGTCAGGGTCGGTAGTTTAGTCTGGTCGGTTGAACCTCATTCGGATGGTATGCGGTCGGGCATACTGGTCTGATGGTCAGCAGGTCGGACAGGCAGGTGTGATTAAGGGCTAAATTTTCATTTTCTAAATGAGGGACACGATAGACTTTTCATTTTCTAAATGAGGGACATGATAGACTTTTCAAGTGGCATATCCGTAGAAACTCGTGTTTATATAATATAATATATATATATATATATATATATATATATACTCCATAAGTCAATCAAATATCGCCAAATTTGGCCGGATCGATATAAAGCCACTAATAGTTATGTAAATATTAAAAATGACTTAGGACCACACCCATCTTAATCTCATAATTTTTAATTATAGCAAACAAACCTACAGAGAATAGATATACATTATCGATAAGGTTGTTAATTGATAATAATAATAATAATAATAATAATAATAATAATAATTGACATTCGAACCAACACATTAAATTCTGTAAGTTTTAATATTTCTATAAATAATTATCTATTAAGAGCTATTTGCTGGACAAAAAAGCGTATTCATTTATATTTATAAATTTTTATTTAAATATTTGTAAAATAAAATGATTTACTATATTGTGTGAATTAAAATTTAATATTCTAAACATTATAGAATGGTGGTTTGGATTTCACTTGACCTAAGTATTTGATTTGTACTTTGATTCCCTAAGTTTTCTTTTATCAAATTTTCTCAAATTGTTACTATTTATAGAAAAAAAAATAAAAAATAAACATATACTATTTTTTATTTTCTATATGATAATAAAAATTAATTTTAAATTCAAAATATTACACTTTTATATCACATTATACAATTATTTTAATTCAAAATTTTTAGTATTCGTATCGAAAAAAAAAAATTCAAATCCCCGAACAAACACACTTTACGATTTATACTGATGAAATATTATTTTAATGAATACTCTTATAGGAAAATTGAGTAGTTTTTTTTTTTATTTAAAATGATAAAATTATATAGTTAAATATATATATATATATATAAGAAAACAAATTTATCCCAAATATAGAGAAACACACTTTATTTAAAATATATTTACTTGTGAAATTTTGGTTTTGTGTTTTGATTTTAAATAGTAAAATTTTGAATTAAAATATTTGTTTGATATGATATAAATATATATTGATGTAGTGTTTTGAATGTAAAACTAGATTTTAATTTAATAAAATAAATAAAAATTGAACATTTGATTTGATATTTTTGGAAGAAAAAAAAATTGACGAGTATAAAGCAATGGGTGTGGACATAAACCCAACTGATCATGATGGTGAATTTGTTAGACAATGGTTAGATATATAATTTTTAGAATTTTTTTTACACTAAGTTTTTATTATTTAAATTTTACGTTCTTAAAATTATATATATATTATAAAATACTGCATCAAATAGTATTTATATTTTAAAATTTAATTTATGTTGAAGAAAAAATATAAAATACTAATACTAATAACTTATGTAGAAATTGAAAAGAAACACACTAATATTTTGAAAATTTTAGAAATAATAAAAATAGAAATATTTGATGTGTCTTGTGAAGTAAATAGATAATTAATGTGATATTTAGAAAATATATACCATATTCGTCTTAGAACTATAGTTTTAATTGGGTTGGATATAAAATTTAAGTAACATTGATATTATATTGGTAGTTGATAAAAAATATAGATAATTTTTTTTTTTTTGTCCCTGTGAGTGTATTAGTGTAAAAAGTAGTGGCTATTATTTAATAAAAATGAAAAAGTAAGGTTAGTTTTATGGTGATATGATTATTTATGAAAATAAAACTATTATTTTTGGACGGATAAAAATAGTAAACAAGATTATTATATTGAGACGAAGAGAGTATTTTTTTATTGAAAAAATTATTATCAATGAGTAACGTAAAAAAATATTTTAAAAAAAAGTATATAATAGAGCCTTAATTGCTGAATTAGATGGAAATTAAGTTTTGAGTTGGAATTGGTTGGAAGTTATAACTTCAATCATTGTTGTGACATATATATATATATATATATTAATATAATGGATTTTTTTTAATGAACATTATGAGCGTATATTCATTAAAATGTTGTTTCTTAGCATTAATTATATATATATTTATATTTATTTCTTTATTTGTTTGTAGTCTTTTAAGTATAGTTTAATGTTAAATAGTAACGACAAATACCGACGTGGCCTAACAAAATTTGATGTGCCATTTGATTTGGATCGGATATAATATATATATATATTTTAAAAAAAAATACTATTTTGGCCTCAATTCAAAAAGTTCTTCGAAGTTCTGTAACAAATTCAAAAATAATAATATTTTACTCCCTCCGTCTCTTAACATTCTATTCATTTTTTCATTTTGGCATGTCTCATAAAAAAAGTATACATTTTTTTTTCTGAGTAATTGTACTATCTACCTAACATTACAAATACATTTCTAATTTACAATATATTACACAAATATCATTACATTTCTATCATACAATACTAATAGGTTAATTTAGTCTTTTTACTTTTATTTTTACTTCATCCCACTATAATATTAATATTTCTAAAACTCCGGCAAAAAACAAATGAATATATAGAAATATATAAGATATTTTGATATATTTTTTTTGATATTAAATTAATATTCAAATATAAAAAAAAAAGTAAATGGGACTTTTAGAGCATGAGGGAATATAATATAAAAAATAAAATATAAGTGTTTAATTTAATGTTTTTTTTTTTTTATAAATAATGTAAATTCCTCAAAAATCTTTCAAACACACCGTCTATCTCTCTCTCTATATATATATATGGATATGTGTTTGTACGAATAAGACTCAAATTTCCTCTCCTTTCTTCTTTCTTCTCCAAAACCTAATTGACATTCGCAGCGCCATGGTGTCGCCGGCGGACGAAATCAACGGCGGCGAGAGCGCCATACGCGACGTGAAGCTATCGACGGTGGTTCCGGGGAGCATCACGGGGGAGGACAACACTTACCAGTTCACCGACCTTGATTTGGCGATGAAGCTCCACTACATAACGACGGTGCATTTCTATGGCGCCGCCGCCGTAGAAGGTTTAGGAATCTATGATTTTAAGAAGCCGATGTTCCTCTGGCTCCAGCACTGTTATCCAATCTGCGGCAGGATTCGCCGCCGCGACGGCGGCCGGCCCTTCATCAAGTGCAACGACAGCGGCGTTCGGATTGTGGAGGCGGACTGCTCGATGACGGTGGCGGAGTGGCTGGACCGCCGCGGCGGCGGCGACCACCACCGCCTGCTCGTCTACCATCAACCGATCTTCGCTAACGACTTCGGCTTCACGCCGCTCGTGTTCCTGCAGGTACCTAAAACGACGTCGTTTTTGTTATTCGTAGTGGTGGTGATTGGGGAGGGCCATGGACTCCAGCACCAGATCGGAGATCTCGTGAATATGGTGTTCGAGTCCATGGACTTTCTGAGAATCACTCACTTTTCTGCGTAGTATATATTTTTTCAAATAAATCAAAATTAAACATATATATTTTTAAAGATTAAAAAAAATGAATTATATATAATAAAATTATATAAACAAATCCTAAATTCGTGTGCATAAATTGTGTGTGTTTTAGGGTTAATTTTTATTATTTTGTTTAAATAATCATTTAAATAAAATATTCTATAATAAGAAAATAATTAATGCAATAATTATATACTACATAAAATTAAAATCAAATTACACTAACTTATAAAAAACAAAACTCAACAATTGAATTGTTATAATAATAATAATAATAATGATGATGTAAAAGTAGGGTTTGTTTGTTTGGATTTTAGTGTACTTCGATGTTATGGTGTTTTTGAAATATAAAATATTTACCTGTGATGACATAATATGTCACAAATAAAAACAATCTTTGTTCCATAATGAATGACCTAGTGGTGTAGATATGCACTCGTGACCGTGATATATGAGTTTAAATTCAAATAATAAATATAATATTATTCGTTTTCTCATAAGAATATAATATCAAAATATTTATTTAAATTAAAATTTAAATTAATTTTAAAGTACAACCAAACAGATTTGATTATTTAATTGATATTTGAATAGAAAACATTTTTACCTTTAATAAATTAAAAATAAAATAGTACACAAATTATTTATTAATTTTTCATTCAACTATATTATATCTTCTAACACTCAACATTGTTAAATATGATATATATATATATGCATAATTGTATCATTTATTTTATAATTATATTATTATTATTATAAAAAATAATAAAATAATAGATATGATAATGTTGTGTGGTAGTAGTTGAAAAAGCAAAGCAATCGCCCGCCCCAATCTTCACACTTAAAAGAAGAACATTTATAAAGAGCTTTATGCAATAGTAGTTAAATATATAGTGAAATAATAATAATAATAATAATAATAATAATAATAATAATGAATAAAATAATAGTAATATTGAAAAGACGGTTATGTTCACGTGACGAGGGAACACGCCTTAAACTGGGACCATACAAAGTACGCACCATTTAACGCATCAAGCTGAATCTACGACGTATGCATAAACTACAACACATGTCGCATTCTTCTAACTTATTCCATATAAAAATATATGCTATTATTACTTTTTATTTTTTATATATACTTTTATATAAAATGCTACTCATTAATAATTTCATCCAAAAATATATATTTCTTTCGCACTTATTCTAAGTATTTTTTTTTTTTATTTTTGTTTGTCTCATTAAAAAATATTTCCTCTGTACTATATTAATATATCCATTTGTTTTTTCATGAAATTTTAGAAATATTAGTATTATATTAGAATATAGTGGAAATAAAAGTAAAAAGATTAAACTAACCTTATTAGTATTGTATGATATAAAACTAATGACATTTGTGTAATATATTGTAAATTAAGAGAATATTTGTAATGTTAGGTAAATAGTACAATTATTAAAAAAAAATTGATACTTTGTTATGAAACAGACCAAAATAGAAAAATAAATATTTTGTTAAGGGAACGAGGGAGTATGGCTTTCTATTTTTAATAAAAATTATTATACATTAATATTAAAATATTTTTAATTTTTATTTAAATTACAAATATATCATTATATATACAATTATTATATATATAAAGTTAAATGATATAAATATCAAAATCTCTTATACATTTTTAATAACAAATAAAATACTATTATTTCTTAATTTACTACAAAACTTCAAAGGATAGACGGAGAAAGTATAAAACAAACAGTAAAAACATCTTATATACTCCTCCGTTCCACTTTAATTGTTCAATTTTGTGTAAATACGAAAATCTAAATAAAAATATAATTAGAAAATAATTTTAAAATATATTACTAAAAATAATTAGCTATATTTTTTTTACAAAGAAAATATAACTAATTTTGATGGTAGGAAAAAAACATCTTTTTATTGAAACCAATATTTAATTGAATAGTGATACTTTTCATTTGAGATTAAAACTGAAAACACCTAGCATTCTATTTCCTCCGTCCACAAAATAAGTATGCATTTTCTTTTGGCGTGGAGATTAAGGAATAATAATATTTTAATTATAGTGGGTAGGTAAAAATAGTAAAATGACATTTTTGCCTTTATTTTTTTGGTACAAAAGTAATAATGTGATATAAAGTATAGGTATTTTTGGAAAAAATGAGGTATTTAATGAAATGGTTACTTTGTAATTGGACGTCCCAAAATAAAAACATGTATATTTTCTAACTGGACGGAGGGAGTATAATTGTATATTGTTTGTCTGGGGATTGGATCTTAAATACATTATTCATCTTATTTTTTTATATATAAAAATATTAAATTAAACACCTATTTTTTATTTTTTTACATTATACTAAAAATCAATTTTACATTCAAAATATCACATCATCACCTATTTATATAGCATCGTACAACTATTCGAATTCAAAATTTATACTATTCAAATTCCAATTCAAAATTCAAATCCCCAAACAAACACACCTTCTAAAAGTTTTTTCTGAAATGAAATAATTATATGATATTTTAAATAGTAAATACTATTGAATTTAACATTTTTTATTTTTTTTAATACAAATTGAAGATTTATATAATGATAATAATAATTTATTTATTTTTTTAAAGTACAAATCCTGCCTAGTCTAAGTTGGATGTTGACACTACAAAGCTACAATATAAATATCATCGGTACATATAAGCGTATGTTTGTTTGTGTCCCTCCCTAATCTTAATTGGTTCAGGCTGACGGTGTGTTTGTCCGTAAGTTCTTGGTATGAGTTTACGTTTTTACCCCCATAAAATTTTAAATTAAAATATTTATTTACTCAAATATGCTGCCCTTTTCATTTCCAAGAGAATATAGATATTTGAGATTAATACCAAAGTTCAAAAATAATAATATTATATCAATACTTACTGTAAAAGTATTTTTAGAAAACCAAAATATTCTTATTTTATGTAATTATTGTGGAAAAGTGAGAATAATTTTGTAAAAAATTGTAAAAGTAGTTACCAAAATAGAAATGAGTCAATTGTTTTTAGACGGACAAAAATAGAAAAATGATACTATTGTTTTGAAACAGACGGAGTTTATTAACTATAACATCATACACTAGCTATGGTATTTGAGGATTTGAATTTTGAGTTGAGATTTGAATCGTAAAATTTTTGAATTTGAACAGTTGTATGATATTTATAAATAAGAATTGATGTGATATTTTGAATGTAAAATTAATTTTTAGTATAATATAAAAATTTAAAAAATAAATATTTGATTTGATGTTTTTGGAGAGAAATATTGTACGAATAGTGGAAATTTAACTAAATTATTCAAACAAACACACCCTAAATATATATTTCCTTCATTCCAACTAAAAATGCATTTTTACTATTTTCATTTCATTCATTTCAAAGTATTTCTTTTCTATGTTAGTAAGAGTAATTATATATTAATATCAAAATATCTTTAATTTTTATCAATTACTTTATACATAAAATTAAATGACACAAATATCAAAACTTCTTACACACATTCATTATCCAATAAAATATTATTATTTCTTAATCTATTACAAAATTCCCAAAAACTCATTTAGAGTAGGACAGAAATTCTATTTAAACAAAAATTTAAATCAATATACTCCTTCCGTCCCATTGGAAAGGTAACATTTGTTTTTTGCACGTAGATTTTTTAATATTAATATTATATTGATTGTAGTAAAAAAGATAAAAATAGCCCTATTAGTATGGTATAATATAAAAGGACATTTGTGTAATATATTGTAAGTTGAAATGGTATTTATTATGTTAGGTATGTAGTACAATTACTAAATTAGAAAATGATAACTTTATTTTGAGGCATACGAAAATAGAAAATGATAACATTTCAATAGGATATATGGAGTATTATTTTTCAAATTAATTTCAAATCACCATAATAAAAAATAAAAAATAAAAAATAAAAACTCATCTACAAATTCTAACTACAAAACAAACACTCTTTTCTTACAAAGAATAGGGAGAGTAGTATTAATTAGGCATACCTAAGTGGTTGGGGTTGGGGCCCATTATGTTTGTCCAAACTCTACCTTAAGTCAATATGACATTGCCATGTGTTGTTTAGGGGTTCAAGATTTTGGGTTTTTTTGTTTTTTATTTGAGTTTGAACTTGCAATTTATTTTTTATTTAAATAATATTTTAATATAATATATTATAGAAAATAATATATTTTTATTAAAACTTGTATAATTGAATAATATTTTTTTTCTTTTTGTTTAAAATTAAAAATAGCGAAACAAACCTCAAGTTTGAGAGTAATAAAAATTTAAGGATGTGTTTAGTTTGTACTTCAAACCAAAATTATTATTATTCAATACAAAACCGTTTTTAATAAATATATATTTATTTTTATATAATAGTACATTAAAATATTATCATTTAAACTAAAATTCAAATTAAAATTTCAATTTTAAATCAAAATCAAACAAAATAATTATTATACTATTTGGTGTGATACAAATAGAAATTTGATATAATATTTTCAATCAAATATTGTTTTTTTTAAAAATATATTAAATAAAAAATAAATATATGTTTGATAATTTTTTTTTTCTAAAAAAACTAATGAATAGTGCAAAATCAGATCTAGATAAAAGGTAAAATAATAATTTTATTTTTATTTATTTATTTATTTATTTAAATTACAAATCTAGCACACCCTGAAGTAGAATAAGATTCGGACAATAATATTTTCCATTCAAATGGAGTCAAGAATAATACATCTGAAGTTGCATTCATTTCCTATTACCTAATTTACTTTTTACATTTAAAAACTCAAGTAGAATAATATTCCAAGAATAAATTTTCTATTCAAGAATAAATTATACTCCATCCGTCCCAAAAGAGACGTCTTATGGAATAATAGTATTTAATTGAAAATGGATATAAAATATAATGTAAAAGATTAAAATGTCATTGGATTTTAGAAAGTAGGTTAGAGTAATAATTAATGATTTTGTCTGTACACAAAAAATACATTTGTTTTATTATTATAGTTTTGATAATAGTATGCTTACATGGTAGTTATTAAAACAAATAATTATTATTTATTTTTTAAATCTATACCAGCTATATTATATCAATTTAACAATTGTAATTTGTGATATTTCTTACAAACAATATACATAATTGCATGTATAATGGTATATTTGTAATTTAGATAAAACTTGAGTATTTTTTATTAATGTATAATTATTTTTACTAAAAAAAAAATAATAAATATTTTTGAATAGGATGAAAGACACCCTAATTAAAAAATTACAATGATTTCCAATGGTTCAATTTCAAAATTAAACATGAATAAAAATAATTTTAATATAATATTTCAAATGAAAAATAAATATTTGATTTAATAGGAATTGCTTTTTTAACAGCTAACTAAGTTCAAGTGTGGAGGACTATGTGTGGGGATGAGATGGGCACATTTTCTTGGAGATGCATTCTCAGCTACACAATGCATCAATCTATGGGGAGAGATCTTGGCCACACAATCACTCCCACCCCATTTCCACCTCATTTCGGGTTCGGGTCCGAGTTCGGGTTTGTGTTTGGGTTTGGGTTCGGGCTTGTGCCGGTCTTTAAAAATGCTCAAACCCCTCGGCGACAACTGGCTAACACCGAACAATTCAAAGTTGCAAATGCACACTTTCCACATAACTCAAGAACACTTGAACGATCTACTCGCCGAACACGACGAGGTAAGGCCTTTCGAATTAATATCTGCGTACATTTGGAAGTCGTTGGCCAAAATTAGAGGGAACGATGCAAAAATAATCGTGACCGTACGCAAAAAAGGAGGTTCCTTTGATCGTAATAAATTGTTAGGAAATACGCATCAAATGATAGGTGTAGTGGAGGCTAAGACGACGAGCGCGGTTGCGGATGGCAACCCGCTTGACTTAGCCAAGATGATTGGCGGCGGGAAGCTCGTCGACGAGACGAGCGTGGTTGAAAAGTGGTTAGGAGATCAGAATCTCGATTGTGTTGTTTATGGTTCGAATCTTACTTTTGTGAATTTGGAAGAAGTCGATCTACACGGGCTACGATTTAAGGGGAGGTCACCGGTTTTTGCTAGCATTAGCATTGGCGGCGTCGGCAATGGCGGCGCGGTCGTTGTGGGCCCCGCCGTCGCAAAATTGGAGGATGAGAGGGGAGGTGGGAGGAGTGTGAGTGTTGTGTTGCCGGAGTGCGAAGTTGATTACTTAAATAATGAACTTAGAGGTTTTTGGGATACGGTTTCAATCAGGTCCTGAATTTATTATTATTATTATTATTATTTTTTCAAGTATGTATTGATGATAAAATAAATAGATTGTTTGTGCTATTTGATACCAACATCATGATGTATTTGCTTTGTTATCATCAATTCATTTCTATGAATAGTAGCAATCAATAGAAGAGTGATTTAATAAGTGTTTGTTTTTCCCATCATTGAAGCCCTTTTCTATTTGAAAATTTTAATTACATATATATATATATATTTTTTATATAAATATTCATATATATATATATATCTCACAAAATAATGCATTCAGTTTCTATTTAAATCAAAAAATTAAAATTAGCATACAAAATAAAAAAATATAGATATGTAAAGAGCATAAATCTTTGAAAATATGAAGTACGAAAAAATTACATTCATAATTAATTTGATTTTTTTTTTTAGTCTTCCAATATTAAAATTCTATGTCTCACGATATGCATCGTGGATAAACTATCGAGTTTTCAATATTACAAAGTAATTTTAGAGGATCAAAACAACATTATCAAACTAGTTACAAAATTAACTTTCATCGTACTTTAAACGAAGAACATATATGATAAGTTGTCCGATTAGCTAGCAACACCAATCTGTATACCTTACCGAGGTTTCGGCAAATTGTACAAAATCAAGCCCAAAACAAGTATCATAGAACCTAAGTGAAAAAGGGGGCTTAGGGTCACACCTTGTGGGAGGAATGGCAATGGCAATGACAATACATAAATTGCAATTGGAACTGCACAAAACAAAACCAAACAAAACTCACATTAGTAAACCTACATTACAATTTTGTGTGTGTTTTCTAGAGTGAGAGTGAGTAAATAATATACTTCATCCATCCACAAACTAATGTCATATTTTTCTATTTGTGACGTCCGACAACTATAGTCCAATTTTTTTTATTTTTTAAATACAAATTTTATTTTTTTACCCTTTGTTCATTTACTATTTTTAATCTCTATCTTATCATAAAAGATAAATTTGTGAATTTATAAAAAAAAAGAATATTTATCTAAAAAACCGTGCAAATATACATTAGGACAATAAAAATTGAACAGAAGGAGTATATATATAGAGAGAGGGGTAAAAATACCTGCAGATCTAGCGGCAAGAGAGGCGATGATGGCGTCAGAAACTCGCAAAAGATTGAGGATCGATATGTTGAAAAGGATGTTCGAAGCGATGTATAGGGCCGGGAGCAACGGCGCGCCATTGCATCCTAAAAACGGATCGTTAGTTAGTTAGCTAGTTGGATGTGTTAAAGAGATATTTTGAAATTGTTACGACGTTTTTTAAGATTTCTGAGAATAGTAAAAATTAGAATAAATAAATAGGTATTTGGCTGTAGTCATGCCTATAATACTAAATTTGGGTAGTGTGTTATGGTGTGTCACGATGTATTTTGAAAGTAATAAAATTTTGAATTAAAAAATTATTTGATATAATATACTAATATATTTGATGAAAAAGAAAATTTTGAATATGATACCATATTTTTTTCTAAAAAGAAAAAATTAAATTATTGTATATAAACAGTGAAAGTGCATTTCAAAACACAACTAAATTATAAATTTAATTTTTAGTATAATATTTCAAATAAAAAGTACTCACTCTATTCACCCGAGAAATTTATATCAATACTATCTAGTCAAACTATAATATTAAGACAAAAAATCTTTACACATAAAAGTATCAACCAAGTATTATTTGAATATAATATTTTAAAAAATTTTACGCTAAAATTAAATATATATCTTACAAATAGACGAAAGAAATATATTGTATGTGTTATATTTTGTAAAAAAAACTTCGATGAAAAAAGTTAAGTGAAAACATGTGTAAACAAAGATCGGGAAAGGTATATAAGAAGTATCTAACATAACAAGTTCGATGGCTATTGATCGAACCTACCTATGGAATTGCCGCCGAGGTTCAAGAAACACGCGGTGCCGTCTTTGAAGTACGAGGGCAACCCGGTTATCGAAAGCCCCTCCAAGTTCGCGAGGATAGGCAAGAAGAGAAGCATAAAAAGAACCTGAAATCCGAAACCAACGGCCCGATTATTTTCACAAGCACAAAAAATATGTAATCCATCTTTACGATCCATAGAGTGTATTTGGCTCGTAATTTTTTCTTAAAGATTTTTTTACTATTCGTTGATTTTTTTTTCCTCTAAACATATTAAATCAACATCTACTTTTTATTTTTTAACTACACTGAAAATTAATTTTATATTAAAAAATATCACAGAAATGTCGCTAGTACCTGAAATCCCGATCCAAAGGCATTTACGACGAAGGTATCGAGTGATTTCCCCTGCACAAATTCGACGGGTCAATTAAGAAAAAAGTCGAGAGTACTAAACAAAATTTGTATCATATCGTACCTTTAGATGTGCTGCAGCATCAACGAAAATCGATTCCTATACGTTCCAAACGGATTCAAATAATTATATTTATTACATAAATATTAAAAAAAAAAGGTCTAAATGCGGCGTAACAACGAATTGTCACCTTTACGATGGATGCACCGGCTTGAAATGCACTCGAAGCTACCATGAGTGCCGGCCACAAAATCCCGATGCCGGCTAGCATTCGCGTATGACTTGCTCCGCTGCACGTGCGCGCACACGTGTTATTACAAGGATTCATTTGAACATTTTTTTTTCGAACATTCTTTATATATCGGCAAATAATGTCTACCTTGTTACAGCCACGACGACTCCTGCGCCTACAAAAAGGCACCCGATGATTTGATTCAATGAGTACCTTCTTTCTAATAGGAGGCTCGAAAACACTAATTGCCACACCAAAAATGTCTACGACAAAGATGACGTTGTCAAAGAAAAAAATAAAAAAATATTATTCACTTTATGCGCAAAATTTTATCGATTTTATATTTTAAAATAAAATTTATAAAAACTTTTAAAACAAAATTAAGCATTAAATATTAACAAAATTATATCACTTATAATATTAAGAAAAAAAACAAAATATGCATATACAATGGACGGAATGAATATTTAAAACTTATTCCTTTAAATTTATTTATATTATACCAAAATATTTATTTATAATTCGCTCTATTTACCATCAAATTAAAATATTATTTTAACAAAAAATAAAATAAATTGGGTGGGCTGAAATTGGTTTCAATCAAATGGTTTTGGGCCGGGCCGGCCTTACCTGTCTAGGCAAGTTGAGTTTGAAGAAAGTATTGTTCCTTGATCAATTTGCAAATAATAGACGTAGGCGGAGGAATAAGTGTTGGTTTGGTAGTTTAAATTTTTGTTAGAATTTAAATAATAAAAATTTTAAATTTTAATTTAAATATTAATTTTTAATATAGTATAAAAAAAAATACATATTTGATTTTATATATTTGGGAGATAAAATTTGGAAAAATATGATAAAAATTTCATAACAAACTATTCATTTTTCTACTTTATCGGTCTTATAACAAAGTATTTATTATTATTATTATTATTATTTTTTTAAGTAATTGTATTGTCTACTAAAATTACTGATACCCTTGCAACTTACAATATATTACACAAATATCATAATATTTATAAAGTTATTTTAATAATTTCTACTTTATTTTTAATATTTTTAAAACTCCGTGAAAATATAATCGGATATATAGTTAAGAGAGAGACTATATATAACGTGAAAGCTTAGCTGTACCTGGTAAAGCAATGGTATTGCTGGCCCTGGAAGCATTGCTGCAAATACATTTACATATATATATATAAATACACCAAAATGCGTTATAATATATATATGTACGTATATGTTAAGGAAGATTCTGGAAGGCAGAAGAGATGAGTACTGTACCTCCAGCGTACATTCCAGAGACGACGGAAAAAGCTTCGAGGACGCCAATGGCGACGAAAGGCCACTTAGGAATGGCTAACATTTCACCTGTAGTTAATCCTGCGCGGTACCTCATCAGAAGCACAGAGAAGTAAACGCCTACGTATACAATTCCGTTAACCTGCGCCAGGAAGAACGGGTAGTTTTTCATGGGGACTAGAGCCAGTTTCTGAAGCACTCTGTTGCCGACGGCGAGGAGGAGTGTCGTCGCCGACCAACCAACCACCGCAAGCCGCCGGTTCTCGTCGCCGGAGCTCGGAGTCGCCGGAATTGCGCCGGCGGAATTTTCTGAATTGCGTATTGGTAAGGATGAAAGTAAGGGTGTGTAGATAGGTTATACATTCAAATAGACACAATCTAACATGGAGAGGAAGAGGACGACATAGTCAAAATTTTGCACTGTGGGAGTCTGTTGTCACACGATATATTCAATACACTTAAAAAAAAAAAAAAAAAAAATTACATTAAATATATTTTTTCTCTCGTAAAATATCAAATTAAATATTAATTTTTTATTTTTATTTTTACTTTTTAACTTTTAAAATTTAAAAACTTTTTAAAAATCTCTATCTAAACAAAGTCATATATTCTTAATAATAAAATAAAAAATTTAAGCGCAATGCAGCCCAAATAATTACCCTATGTTAAATACTTAAAATATTTCTAACAACATTTCATTACCTAAAGCAGAGGGTACCAAATTCTTTGGCTTCCTAACATCACTCCCTTTGTTGCAGAAACCGTTGCTCGACAGAGAGCACGTGACATTATTATCACGTGATATCGGCGGATCGGACCGGAATCGGAGGAAAGTCCGGCGAGTTACGATTGCGCGAGATGGACGGCGGTAACCGCCGCCGGAATTGTGCAGCGACGCGGCGGAGGATCTGGTGCGGGCGGCGGTGAGGAAATTCATCGCTTCGGGAAGAATTGGGGAAAAAATTTTCAACGGAACTTCAACTGGATCGGAAAAGTTAAATACCGATTCAGACGCCGTCCTGCGCCATGCCTGAGGATATATTATTGAATTCAATTGCCGCCATGGATAGCCCTAATTAAGTTTATAGCGACAGGGTCAAATATGGCGATGCAGAATATATATATATATATATATATATTATTCTAAAATATGAAAATCAGCAGCGGCAGCTCACTTTATTGCGTTAGGCAGAATTTTCAAAATTAGAAATAGAAGGCAAGTAAATAATAACAATAATAATAATAATAATAATAATAATAATAATTTAGTTTGCTTGTAGATAGTAAGCTCATAAAAGGTAATATAATAATAATTATTATTTATAGTAAGCTCATAATAAAAGGTAAGTAAGCTAGTTGTGTGTTTGTTTGGGGGATTGGATGTTGAGTTAGGATTTAAATGATAAAAATTTTCAATTTGAATAGTTGTATGATAAAATATGAATAAATGTATGTTTTAAATATAAAATTAATTTTTAATATAATATAAAAAATAAGTATTTAATTTAATATATTTTTTAAGAAAAAAATTGATGAATAGTATAAATTTTGGAGAATCCTCCAAACAAACACACCTTAGAATGAGTTTGGTTACGAGTTGAATCATTGAATTGGAAGTTGGGTTGAAAGTGATTTATTTAATTAATATTTGATTTATGATGTAATATATACTCTCTCCCTCCCATACCTTTGTTCCACTAAAAAATATTTATTTCATATTTGAGTAAAAGTAATCATATATCAATATTAAAATACCCTTAACTTATTTTTTAATCTACTAAGAAACTCCAAAGGGCTCATTTGGACCGAGGGAGTATAAAATTAAAAAAAATTGAAAATGTGTGTTTAATTATCTTAATAATTATATTTTAATAAAATATATGTGTATATAATTTTATAGGTAATAAAATTTTATATAATAAAAATAAATAAGAAAATATAAATTTTTATTAATGATTAGTATAAATTAATTTGTAAATAAATAGAGAGTTTTAAATGAATATAAATATATTTATTTATTGAAAAGAGATATAAATTAAAATTTTGAATAAATAATTGAATATTTTTTTAAAAAAGTTAAAAGGCTAGTGCCAACCAACAAACCAACCAACTACACCCTTTTGCTTGCCAAGTTCGTATAATGTGATTAACTAATAATAATAATAATAATAATTTAATAGATATTATTAAATAATGTCAATTAATAGAATCTTAATTTAAATTATAAATTAAATATCTAAAATATTTCAAAATACAAAAATGAGATTCACTTTCAACACATTGTAACGAATTTTTAGATTGCATTTTGTAGACTTAAATAATAACCTAAGTTAATACTACTATAATTCTTTCATTTCAATTTTTTATATTTTTGTTTATTCCACTAAAATTATTTTTTTCTATACAAGGAATTTATAGCAGAGAGAAATAAAAATTTTGTTTGTTTGAATTAAAGAATAAAATTGAGAATCATTTCTGTATTTTTATTTCTCCCATATGGAGAAAAATGAATATTACAATATATATATGTTTTAATTTTATATATTATTTGATTTATTTTATTTTAATTTTTCAAAAATCATATTTATAATTTATAATTATTTTTGAAAAGAATCAGCGAAAATATTTTTTCTTAAATTTTCAATCGTAATTGTTTTTTTTTTTTTGTTTAATTAAATATTTATTCTTATTCTATCTATTTAGATAGCTCTCTTACCCAGAATTAATCATTATCTTATTTTTATAATTTCATTATCTTATTTTTTCTGCAATTTTATTTTATTTTTTATAATATTTTATATACAAATACTAAAATATTATTATTATTGTTTTTTTTTTAATGCAAAATAATACTAAATCACTAACTCAATTTAAATAATGAAAATTAATTTAAATAATAAATATCCTACAAAACTACGCACAGTTTTCAACCATAACGACGATGATGAATATCAATGGCAGAAGCAGCAAATACATGTAAAAATAATTCAATGGAGCTCAAGTCATGACCTAGTTATCCGATTAAACACCAACAACAGTAATACTATAAATATCTCAATAACAGGTTGCATCATCATCCAGGTGGAACAGAACGAATCGAAATTCTTATTGAGGCGCTTCGAGACGGATGTAATCGTACATAACTCCCTGCAACGGCGTCTCAGCATTCGCTTGTGTTAAATAGATCTTGTTGTCGCCATGGACGAGAGAAGCCGCCGGCAAATCCACGCTGAAGAGCCAGTAGAGGCCATGGATCCCATGTCTGGCGATTGCGTTATCCTTCCCGATTGCTCCGCTACTGAACAATGGCGGATTTTCTCCTGGATTGTTGATCCTGACCTAAACGCAACCAAACATCGGTACGAATCATTCATTACTGTTTTCGAATTAATTACGAGCGGAAAAGGCGATTGAACGTGAACTTGAATCGGTGTAGGTACCTCGAGCAGAGCTTGATTTGCAGATGCGAGTGCCAATCTCAATTTGTACGTTCCTCCTGGTTGGATGGCATCCAGTTTGAACTTGATCTGCCATGTTGTTGCTTGGTACGTATTTCCATTCTTTCTGAAATTCGTTAGGGTTTTGAATTGGGGATTTTTCTTTTTTGAAGTTAACTGTCACACACAAACTTAGGAGTGCGTTCGGTATTGAATTGTAGAGAGATATAGGTTCCGTTTACTTTGTTTTTAAATGAATGATTTTTTTATACATGGTAGAAAAAATTGTTAAAAATATAAAATATATTATTTTAAGTTAAATATTTAATTTTATTATTTTCTTTTATAAAAATTATTTTGTATTGTTTATTATATTTTTTAGAAATCTAAATTGAAAAATAATGTTGATAAACAGAGCAATCAGTATAACAGAAAAATAAAATTTTAAAGAAAATAAATTTATTTTACATTTTGGCACAATAATGGAATTTTAAGAAAAGAATATATTAAAAAAATAATGAATAAAAATGTGCAGATAAATCAAACAAGAAATATTTTAACAAATAAATATCTGTATATTTTAATTATTATTTTATTTAATGTTGATTTTGATTTTTATTTAAAATAGTAATGTAAATGTGATATATTATAAAATAAAATAAATTATTTTTATAAAAAAATTTAAAAATAAATATAAAATTAAAATGAATAGACTCTTTAATTTCAACTATCTCCATTTTTCTCCATATAATATAGAAATAGAAATGAAATTAGGAATAAAACATCATTTTAAGTCTAAAATTCTTACATATATAATCAGGCAATTTGAATCTTACCTGGTAACATGGGCAAAGAACCAGTCTGTAGCATAATTGCTCTCCCCAACTGTATACACTAAATCACCATTAGGATAGAGCTCAGAGTATCTTCTCCACAGTCCATATTGCCTGAACCTATTCACATCCAAATGTTACTCCATTTAGGTTGTAGTGTCTGCAAGTGTACATTAACTATGAATTTCTGCTAGGAACAAATGAAACCTGTCCGGATGATTGCAATATAGTTTGTTTACAAGATTCGGATCTGGATCGGGGATGTAAAATTCTCTAGCAGACCTGTCAGGGATGCCTATTTCCCACAGGGTTGGTCCATCCCTTGGGGGCTCATACAGGAGGTTGCCAATGTCAATGGAGACTCCTGATTTGTTTATGCATGTAAAAGCATTTGGTTTTTGTCAGTGTTGTTACAAATGAAGTTAAGGTGGTTTTAATGCAATGGGAGAAGGTAGAACTTGACCTGGAGTTGTGGTAATCTGCTTGCCATGTCTGTAGTCCCCGATAAAACCTGGGATCCATGCGTAGAGACAGTAGTCCCCTGCTCGAATATTGGTGATGGAAAAATTGCCCTTTTCATCTGATGTTGTCCAAAATTGATATCCCTGTTGAGCCAAATTTGTTCAAATTCTCACTCTATCAGATGAATGGATAGAAATGTGGATCGATACAAACAACAAACTTATTAACACACCTTGCCTTCTGTTTGCCAAGATCCAGTTTGATCGGCAAAGGGTGCCAAGCCAATGTGTGCTCCATTTGCAGGCATATAATCATCACTCATGGACCTGATTTAAATAATAAAAAAAAAAAAGGATTTAACTGCCCTTTTCAGGTAAAGCTCAAGGAACTATTGGGGAAAATACCTGTCGGCAACAAGTAATCTGCCATTAAGTGTGCCCCTCTGAGCTGAAGGTGGGAAATCCTCTGATGCTGGAAAACTGTAAGGCCAGCTTTTGTTTTGTTCTTCTGCCTGAGAAAACTTACTTGCATTAGATTTTGGGTGTTGTAGGATCTAGGTATGTTATAGAGTACTTTTCTAAACTATTTTTGAGTTAATTGTAGTTTACTTTAAATTCAGTGTGCAAGAATGTGGGTTTATGATACCATTTTACATATATTTGGGATACTTTGATTTAAACTTCCTAATGACAGGGCTAATGTTCAAAACAGGAACTAAAAAGCTCCCAAATATTGTCTGCATATTGCAGTGTTTAATGAAATCTTCCTAATGGAGTTTTTGTTCTACATTCAAGAAGTTGGGGTTGATATAACCTGTGATTTGGCATCTTCCCAAAGGGTGAGAGGATCGGCTCCATCAGCCGTTGAATTGAGGTACATAAAGATTGGCCCAAATACTTTCTTCCAAGCTTCACCTTCTTCGAATTTAATCACCACATCTTCCCCTCCATAGTGAGCACTAACAAACATCTAAAATAAATTCAAGGCAGCATTCTTGCAGTTAGTCAAATATATTACTACATGTTACTAACCACGATGTTTGAATATTTAGATCGTTAAATCTTACAGCAAGAGTGATTGGGCCAACATGAGAGGTGAGATCTTGCTTGAAGGGTCCTCCAGTTCTGAATTCGTTGCTCGGCATGATCTGCCAAAACCCCACAGCTTCTGGTTGATCTCTGCATATCCATCCATGGACCTTCCCATCTATGTTGTCGCAAGAATACTGGTACTTGTCGTCTACCTTCTCGTACATACAGAATTTACTCTCTAGTTTTCAATATTTTTGGGGCTAAAGTAGAGCTGTAGACGAGCCCAACTGAGCCAAGCTTGTCATGTTTGAGCTCGGTTCGTGTTCGTTCGTTAAAAAATACGAGTTAAAATTTTTATTTGAGCTCGACTCGTTTAGTAATTTTTTGTTGGTGTTCGTGTTCAACTCGTTGAGAGAAATTTTATTTTATTTATTTAATTTAAAAAAATCAATTTAGTTAATAATAATTATAATTTTTTATTAATAAATTTAAATAAAAAATAGAATAAAATATAATATTTATAAAAATATATATACTTATTAAATATAAAAAATATTAATTTAATTTTTCTAATAAATTTTTTCGAACATTTGCGAACAAGAATTCATTCGCAAACATAATGAGCCAAAATTTATGTTTATGTTCCGCTTGTTTAGCTTAACAAACAAGTTCAAACGAGTTGAACCGAGCCGCGCTCGCGAACCGTTAGTTTCTTTCAAAGCTCTAAGCTAAAGTAACTAATAAAGTTGTAGAAATTGTGTGTTCATTTGACAGCTTAAGTAGTTTTTTTTATTAGAGTTTTTTTTACGAGTGTTTTATTCTCGAGGAAAGTAGAGTTGGGAAAAAATAAATTAAAATGGAAATCAAGACATACCTCTCCTTTAAATTCAGGCTCAATAGGATCGACTAAAAGAACAGCCTCAGGATAGTCCAGTGGTAGGCCTCTACCAGGCAATCTGTCATCTGGTAAAGGCATGTATCTTTGCCTATTATCTGCCATAGCCATATACTGAAACCTATACATTCATATAACGCCTTAGGAACGTATGAACAACCTACTTTCACCTGGATGTAAAAAAAAGTAGGTAAAAAGTTAGTAAGAAGTTAAAACTTATTAACCTGTCTTTCCTCAGCTTGAACACAATTCTTGTCTCGTCCAGGTTAAATCCAGGCCAGCCCTCCGGCCGTTCATAGATGGCGTAAGAATAGAATCCAGCTGAACCATTAAGCATTATGAACCTGCAGAAATGATAAATCACAAGAAATTATACGAATTCAAATTTTTTTCTTTTTGCATATAGTTATTAAGTTCTTTCCTTACAACCTCTTATCTATGTTTAGTGGAACAAGTTTTCCCTCGAGGGAAATGTCCCATGGCCTCGAGAATGATAGCTCGACTTGTTCCTCTGTTTGCACAACCACTCTAAAACTTGTCGCGTTAATCCTGCATAATATGAAATGTAGTAAAATGTTAGTTGATAGGGGTTGGGGGGGGGGGGGGGTTGATGAACATACCTTTCGAATGTTCCGGTGGTTCCAGTGCTTCCCGGTGGACTCCAAACAAGATCCCAATACCTTAATACATACAAAACGTTAATTGTATATGTAAAGAGCATTAGGAAGAATTAGTATTTACTTTAGATCGTACATTCTGTTAGATTCTTCATTGGCAATCTCGAGCAGATTGTCGATATTGTGGTATTTAATGGCAATTATAAATCCTTCCGGCTTCGACAGCGTGAGTCTGACGAAGCCATTGTCCAAAACCACCTGCACTTTTGAAACACCATTGAAGCCAAAAAGGGTGTAGAATGCAGAATATCACTTAAATGTTAGTCTGCCTTACTTTGTGATCTTTGATGTGCAATTGTATTCTTTTCGAATGCATGATCTTCTTCGCTGTAAAAGTTGACCCGAGAAACGGTACGATGAGATTTTAAAGATTTAGGGGAAGTATTAGATGGATAATTCAAAGGTGTGAAAAATGTATAAAGAGGAGAATAGGATAGGAGAAGTGTTTATATGGATGGAGTGGATTCAAAGGGAATTACCTGTTGGTGTTTTTGAAAAGTAAATTGTTGCCTCGATAAGGTTTGCCAGCGATGTTCAGTGGTTGCTGCTATATTAATCATTCTACTCCATCTTTTTTTTTCTTGTCTGTACTTCAGAATTTCTCATTGTTGTTTATCATTTGCCATTTGGGAAGAAGATGAGGACAGATGCAGTGCATAGATTCAGAAAAATTTATAGTAATTAGATGTTTCGAAAGTATGTGTAATTAGAACAACCTAGCTATCAGTAGGGCTTCCGAAAATGAATATGCACGTTGTTACATCATGAGTAGTCTATTTAATCTCGAATAACCCGTCAACAGTCCGATCAACGACTGCGGGTTGTCGCAGGTCGGTTTTGATACCAACTGTGACACCCCGATCCGCAAGCCACGAAAAGCCGGACGTATCGGGATCGCAGTCTCTCCCACAAGTTAACGCGAGTATTTCCAATTATTTTGCACCAAACATGCTTTAACTCTATAATTTTTTTAAATACGGTTTTCGAAAAAGAATGTACACATTATTGACATAAGTAGCCTATTTAATCTCAAATGGTCTGACACTGGCACATCCACGGAAGTTGGCCTATCACGGGTCCAACTTTGGAGATATTCCAAGAGCAAATGATGCTTGTGAACTATTCTAAGATAGGGTTGGTAACGAATCAAATAATTTTGTTCGGTTCGATTTAAAATTTTGATATTCGAATTCGAAGTTTTACGATTCGAATTCGAATAAAAATATTTGATTCGATTCGAATATGAATAGAATATAAATATAAAATTTTAATATTCGATTCAATATTCGTAATATTTGATTTTATGTAATAAAATAAATATATATACCTACTATAAAATAGTACAATATACTTTTATAGTACAGTATACTTATAAATGTAATTTTCAAAATAAATAAATGAGATTTAAATTTATTTATAATATTACTTTCATAATTTTATATAAATAAATATATAGTATAATTAAAACTACAACTATTTTTATATTTTGTCAATTTGAAAAAAATAAAAATAAATAACACGTGTGTATTTCTATTACATAATTTTGGTTGGCAATTTTGCATGTTTTTACATAATTATTTTAACAATTAATGCCACTACTATTTTTAGCAATATTTCGTTACAGGAGTAGTGATTATAATAGCAAGAAATCATATCATTATCTTCCCAATTAATTTAAATAGTTCCACTCCTATTATTAGAATTATTGCCTTTCAGGAGTAGTGTTTGTAAGAGGAATAGTAATTGCATCAGGGCTGTTTAATTGGCATTTCACTGCCGTTTTTGTCGATGTGATAGTGAGACTAAATAATAATACTCCCTTCCTACAACATAATTTATTCATATTTTCTATTTTCGTCTGTCCAACGTAACTTGTCTTGTTCTTTTTTTTTTTTAAATATAATTATCCATTTTAATAACATTTTAAGTTTTAAATTTTATAATTTTTTTAATCTTAATTAAACTATTTATTTATCTTAATCTTAATCTATAATTATTTTTACTAAATAATAATTATTTCTACTAATATACTTCTTAATTACCTACTAATTATACTTTATCTAAATTCACGTATCTACCCTAACACACCCAAACATATATGGGACGGAGGGAGTACTAATAATAATAATAATCAAACAACTTTGGGTGTGTTTGTTTAGTTGGAATTTGTAGTTGAAAATTAGATTAAAATGAGATTTATTTAATTGATATTTAATTTATAATAAAATATATATGTTAAAATAAAATTAAAATACTCTCTTTGTCTCATTGAAAGGTTATCATTTTCTATTTTCGTTCGTCCCAAAACAAAATTATCATTTCTAACTGTATTATCTATTTAACATAATAAATACTCTTTAAATTTACAATATATTTCACAAATACCATTACTTTTATGTTACACCATACTAATAGGGGTATTTTTGTCTTTTTTTACTACAATTTAATATAATATTAATATTAAAAAATTTATGTGCAAAAAGTAAATGATACCCTTCCAATGAGACAGAAGAAGTATATGTATAAGATTTATGTTATTTTTATTTTTAGGTTATAACAAAATTATTAGTTTATCTTTTTACTAGAAGGACATTACTTTTTTTAAATATATAAAATATAAATACAGGATCGTAGTGTTAAAAAGTTTAAGCATAAATTTGAATAACCAAAAAAATATATTTTAATAAAATATATAAAAAATAGCTATTATTTTTTAGAAACTATAATTTAATTACACACAAAAAAAAATATGTTAGTAAAATTAATTATAATTTAATACAAATAATTATATATTGAAATTAAAATAACTAATTAATCTAATTAAAATTTTAAAATATATAAATTACAAAATTTAAAATGTGATTAAAATGTATAATTCTTTTTCAAAAATAAAAAATGAAATAAAATATGACACGAACAAAAATGAAAAATATGACATTATATGCCAAACACTAAAATTAAAAAGTTGTGTTTACATAGATATTTTTTATAAAGATTTTGATATCATTTATCAACAATCATTTTGATTTTTTAATAAACATCACATTAAACACATAATTTTCATTAAAATATTACTACTTTAAAATATATTTTATCCGTCACAACTGAAAGTATCATTTTTACTTATTTTTGCCAATTTCATTCGAAAATATCTCATTCCTATTATAGTAAAAATAATTATATACTAATAACTTTTACATACATTACAAGTATACCATTACACAAACAATTAACTTATACATAAATTACAAAGGACAAAATATTATACTCCTTCCGTCCCATTGGAAATGTGGTATTTGCTTTATGCACGTAGATTTTTTAATATTAATATTATATTGGATTGTAGTAAAAGACAAAAATACTCATATTAGTATGGTGTAATATAAAAGTAATGACATTTGTGTAATATATTGTAAGTTGAAATGGTATTTATTATGTTAGGTAGGTAGTACAATTACTAAATTAGGAAATTGTAACCTTATTTTTGGACGGACGAAAATAATGGTAACCTTTCAATGGGACGGAGGAAGTATTATACTCCCTCCGTCCCATAACAAAGTATCCATTTTTCTATTTTAGTCTGTTCCATAACAAAGTATCAATTTCCTAAATTTTTTTTTAGTAACTGTACTATCTACCTAACATTACAAATACCCTTACAACTTACAATATATTGCACAAATGTCATTACCTTTATATCACACATACTAATAAGGTTATTTTAGTCATTTATACTTTATTTCTACTATATCCCAATATAATACTAATATTCTTAAAACTACGTATAAAAAACAAACAAATATTTAATTTCAGAATGAAGGGAATATATTTTTACTAATTAATAAAATATTATTTTTTTTAATTTACTAAAAAACTTAAAAAAATCTCTTTACGATGAATATTTATTTGTATCATATCAGATCAAATTATTTGTGTTGTAACACAAAACACAAAAGTGCAAGTTCACTTAATAATGAAAAACAAGAAAGAAGCACACACAACAAATCGTCACTTGAACTGCAAACAAAAAAAAGCACACACAACACAACATATAAGAGTTAAGATTTCCTTTAAACTTTCTACGTGGTTGGTGAATTGTGCCTTGCAAGAATGGTTTTGTTCTTTCTATTAAAAAAATTTCTAACATATTTCTCTAAAAAAAAATAATAATAAAAAAAAAATATATATATATATATATATATTATACACATTTCTCTGTCATTCAATACACAATAATAGAACATAATTTTTTTTTCAATAAATCATTACATTTTATATACTCCTTCCGTCTCATATTTATATATTCATTTTCTTTTTGCACGAAGTTTAAGAAATATTAGTATTATATTGGGATAAAGTAGAAATAAAGATAAAAAGACTAAATTAACCCCTATTAGTATTGTATGATATAAATGTAATGACATTTGTGTAATATATTGTAAATTAGAAGGGTATTTGTAATGTTAGGTAGACAGTACAATTACTAAAAAATGAAATTGATACTTTGTTATGAGACGGACCAAAATGAAAAAATAGATAGATTTTTAAGGGACAGATGAAGTAATATATTGTCTCCGTCGAGACTAACTATGCCACTTTGCTGGGTGCGAAAATTAAAAATAATAATATTTTAATGTAAAAGTATGATGTATAAAAAGATAAAATGAATGTATTATAGAAAATTTATTAAAAAATTAATAAAAATACGATGAAATAAATAAAAAGTAGTGGTAATCTGTTTTTTTTTTTTATTATTATTATTTGTTAAACCAATGATAATAAAATTATAAGTGAATAAACTTTACTATAAATGAATTGCGGATAAATTTGATGGACAAAAAATATGTACAATTATAGCTAAATAAAATAATGAATAAAAATATGTATACATATTTTTATATGAGTTCTTATAATTAAGGGTGTGTTTATTTAGGGGGTTTGGGAAAATTTGGGGTTGAGTTTGAGTTTGATTTTTATTTGAATTTTAATGTTTCTTTTGTGTTTAGGTTTGGCCGAAGTTTGGAGAGTTTTGATATGATTGGTTTGATGAGTAATAAATATAATAATGTAAATGTATATTAATTTGTATAATTTAATTATAAATTTATATTATATCTACATATATATTTTTAAATTTTTATTTATCTATATTATACTCCCTCCGATGGTAAAAGTAGTATAATGACATTTTTGCTCTTATTTTTTTGGTATAATAGTAATGATGTGATGTAATGTAGGGGTATTTGTGGAAAAAATGAGGTATTTAATAAAATAGTTACTTGGTAATTGGATGTTCCAAAATAAAAATATGTATACTTTCTAATTTGACGGGGGAGTAATGTTCTCTACAAAATAACATATATATTTTATTAAATTATACATATTCTAAAAAATTTAATTTATATTTATCCTGCCCCAAACCGTCGAGCCCTGGTTTGAGTTGGATCACTGTGTAAACACCTTAGCGGGACAAATACACCCTAAATATGTATCCAAAATTTCTTACACGAGACTGATCAGAGATTTCCTTGTGTCGATAAAAAAAAACCTACATCATTAGCCTTCTCATGGTCTAAAACACATTGGTTGTCTACAAGTCTAATTACAATAAATTATACTCCCTCCATCCTACGTAATTTGTTCCTATTTTTTATTTTTATCCGTCCCACGTAACTTGTGATTTTTATTTTTGGAAATATAATTATACATTTTAATCACATTTTAAATTTTAAAATTTATAATTTTCTTAATTTTAATTAAACTATTTACTTATCTTAATCTTAATCTATAATTATTTTTACTAATACACTTCTTAATTACTTACTAATTATACTTTACCTAAATTCCCGTGTCTATAGTAATACACTCATATTACATGGGATGGAGGGAGTATTTTATATGATCAAATTCAAAGTATTATTTTTACTATTTTCGTCTATCCCATAATTCTCATTCAAAAGTATAATTTTTTTCTATTTTAGAAACATTGATCATACACTAATACAAAAATATACTTTAAATTTTTCTTAAATTATAAATATACAATTACACATAATTATTTTATACTAAAGTCAACGGAAAAAAACATCAAAATTCCTTGAGTACTTTCACGAACTAATAAAATACTATTATTTCTTAATATCTACAAATTTCAAAAGGGTTTTTTCAATTGGAACGGAGGAAATATTTAGTACATAGGTTTATATTTGAATGTATAAATTATTTTGTACAAAATGAATTATGTAGTATAATATATACACATGTACAATGGTTACTATAGTGTATGTTTTTTAAAGTCTAAGTTATAATTAATATCATTTGGAATAGATTGGATTATTATTTTTTAAATTTTTTAGTGTATGTTTTTTAAAGTCTAAGTTATAATTAATATCATTTGGAATAGATTGGATTATTATTTTTTAAATTTTTTCTCGTCGGCCTACCAGTTTCTTGACTCATCGAGAATCTTATAAGTATAACATTGTTATACTAGCGCAAGCACAATAAAAAACTCGAGAATACATCGAATGTCAAAACTCATTGTAACTTCAGGTTTTTACTATAAAATTAGATGATTTTACATTACAAAATATATAATAAAAATTTAGTATTTAAATAAAAAATCAAATTTATATAAACAAAAAACTTCAAAGAACACAATTTTTTTTTTTTTTTTTGTATAATGTGGAAACCCGCAGCTATCTTAAAAAGCACACATTTTACTTATACTAAAACACGTGTATATACAGTGACGGAAATAGTCTCCAAACGTTGAAGGGCGAAACAATACAATCAATCAATTTTTTATAATTTAATTTTAATTTTAAATTTTTCGAATGGTTATTTTTTTGTTCGAACCTATAATTTAATATTTTTTTAAAAAATAAAAATTGTAATAACATGAAATTATTTTATTTTTAAAAAAACCCCTTTAAGACTTGAGGAGACAATTTATTTAAATTATATAAAAAATAACATTATACACTAAAAATAAATAAAATTGGGGGACTTGGGTCAGTTGCCCTTTAAAAGATCCATCCATGTGTATATATATATATATTTATATTACTAAACAGTATTATGATACTATCATATTTTACTCTAATCTTTTAGTGAAAATTTTAAGATTAGTTCAAAATTTGTACTCCTTCCGTCCTACATAATTTTTTTTTATTTTTTATTTTCGTCTGTCCCACATAACTTGTTTTCTATTTTTGAAAATATAATTATGCACTTTAATCGCATTTTAAATTTTAAATTTTAAAATTTTCTTAATTTTAATTAAACTATTTACTTATCTTAATCTTAATTTATAATTATTTTTACTAAATAATAATAATTTTTATTAATACACTTCTTAATTACTTAATAATTATACTTTACCTAAATTCTCGTGTGTACAGTAAAACAAAAACAAGATACGGGAAAACTATTTAGGAAATTGCAAATCAGGACACCAACTATTCGCTTCTTCTCAATTTAGTAACCTTAAATATTCCATGCATATTCCCCGCATCCTTCTTGGAAGTTACCAATGTACCACGCATATTGCACGCCCATTTCCTAGTCAAACTCGAGGGCGTTTCGGTCATTTCACGAAACTAACAATAGACCCTTCCCTGTATGGGAACCAAGCGCTATACGTTATATTTAGGAGGGGCAAAAAGATCATTTCATATCAAACCTCGAAGCAGTCGAAAAATTCCTATAAATGGGAAGTTAGCCCACGCGTCGCTTCTCAATACGGTCGGCGGCACTTTTCCAGATCATGAATATCGTGCTTAGCCCTAGTCCACTCCCATTGGTCCACGTGTCCACCACCTGCTCTAGTCCATTCCCATTGGTCCACGTGTCCAACCCCCTGCAAAACCACCTACCCCTCCGCCGCATGGTTTGCAAAACCGCCTTCCATAATAAAAGGGTTTATATATATACAATAATACTGTTTATTATATACTGAATTGACAGAACGGTTTTCGACAATTCTCAGCTAATCATAGCGAAGAAATCCTCCCACAGCTTTGGAATCGCGAACGATTCGGAGTAAGTTTTCTGCTCTACTTTCTCTGTATTGTTTTCGATCCGTTTTCGAGTTCGGTTAATCTACTTGTGCGTGGAATTTTGGGGATTTTTTGCGGATGAAGGATATAGTTAGGGTTTTTTGACGCTTTGAATGCTGTCATTTCATGAAATTTGAACTGTAGAAATTAGATTCGATTAATTGATCGGAGGAGAGTGTTTTGGTTTTTTTGACGATTTGAATGCTGTCATTTCATGAAATTGGAACTGTAGAAATTAGAATCGATTAATTGATCGGAGGAGAGTGTTTTCGCGCAGATCGGTATATCGATGGGGAGGGGGAAGATAGTGATTCGAAGGATCGACAACTCGACTAGCAGGCAGGTGACGTTCTCTAAGCGGAGGAATGGCCTGCTGAAGAAGGCGAAGGAGTTGGGGATCCTGTGCGACGCTGAGGTTGGAGTTATCATCTTCTCCAGCACTTCGAAGCTCTATGAGTTTTCCAACACAAGGTACATGCTGTGCTGCCTCATTAATGGAGATTTAATTATACTATTAATTTAATATATACGTGAATGCCTCTTCGTTGTTTATTTATATATATTTCTTCGTCGTCTGTTTGATTATTTTAATCTGCACATCTGCTTTTCTGTTTTGAAACTTTTTCGTCCATCTGAACTAAGATTCGCTTGCTCACACTCACACACATATGTATATATATATATATTTCTTTAGCTTATCATTTCATGAAACTGCATTACATTATTCCACAGCATATCTCGCTACGATTTGAGAAATGAGTTTGGTATTAAATCGTGTCTTGGATAGTGTTCTATATATATATATATATATATTTATGTGTGTGTGCATATGCATGGTAAGCTTTTTTTTTTTTCAAATTCTTCCATATTGAATTATTTCTGTTGAGTTAGGCCAACATGGGAGTTAGTTAATTTACATTATATATCATATGCATGGTATCAAAACATTGATACATTCTGGATTTCAATTCACTACTTTTATGGCCTTTTCTTTTGTGCATATTCATAATCATACTACCATTCTAGACTTGCAATTTAATTCAATTAACAAGATATACTTAAAAGGACAATGTTTCAAATATGCTTAATACTTAATGTCTTCTTTTTTACTTCTTCTCTTTATATATATATATATATATATATAATTTGCATAATGTGTTGCATTGTTGGCATATATATATATATATATACTTGGATTATCTTGCTATTAATTTTATTTTGAATTACTGTCATTTTTTTTAATAACATTTATTCTTACATTATTATGCCACATTAATTCAATCCTTTTATAAGATCAGATTTATTTACCCTTTTTTATAGGATTTTTCCCCCTCCATATTACTCATGCTTTTCAAGATTTTTACTTTCTTTTATGTTTATATATATATATATTGCTTTATCTCCTAGAAAAGGATTAACGATGCATAATTTTGCTTGTGTTTGAACATATTGCAGTGTTTTTAGAGTATCATTTTTTATGATTGGAAAAAATAATAATTTTGTATAATATATATCTTTCATTGTTATTATTTTAATTTGAAAAACACATGTTTGATTGATATATTCTTGATTTTAGCCTGTAGGTATAGGGTTTTATGAGTATATTTGGATTAATGAATTTAAATTAAATAATGTAATAATGATTGAATATTTTTAATCAAATTCTTACTTTTATATATGTAAAATTTGAGAAAAGTTTTATCTTTAAGACTTAATATTTGATATCGAGATGCCTATTTCATAAATATTTTTATCTTAATGAAAATAGATAGTAAATTGACATTCATAGGAAATGAGTGTTTTTCTTTTTTGCATGAACTGTATTAGTATTGTTTTTTGTGTACGTAGTTATTACTCATACAAATATATAGAATAATATGTACTAATTGAGTGCATATTATATACATGCATGGTAAACATTTTTTTTTTTTTTTTTTGACACTAAGGGAAATCCAACCCCAAACCTCTGTTAAGATATATTTAAAGTTTTATAAAAGGTAAATAATAAGTGCATAATTTGTCTCTAAATTGTTGAGAATTAACTAGATGTGCCATGCATAACTTATTCACTAATTTGTCTCTGAATTAATTTATATCATAATTTTCATTAAATGAGCTGATAATACAACTTAGCTTCTTGGGTGAACATTGCATTTCACTATTATTTGTACTTTCAAAGAGCTGCTTTTCTTCGAGAGCGTAATAACATGCAAACTATGTAAGCCACGCTAGGAAAACCCTATGTGACCTGCTTGACTTAGAAAGAATCGGCAGGGTTTGTTTGAACCCATAACTTTGGGTTCATAAGTTCGCACACATATAAATAAATAAAGTGTAACGAGAAAAAAAAAAAAAAAAAAAGAAAAGAAAAGAAGAAAAAAGCCATAATGTGTAATTTTTGAGTTTGATTTTGATCTTTGTTTGAATAATAATTTGAACTTAGTGTATTGTAAGAGAAAATATTGAGTTTTTTCTGGGAATCACTATAGTTATATAGTGAAATTGTTAGTATTATTATTGTTGTTGTTTTTTGTGGTTTATTTTAGGTTTGAATAGTAATATGGATTTAATATTCTATATGAGAAAAAATATAGTATTATATTTGTATAGAAATTGAAGCGATCAACTTTAAAATAAATACAATAAAATAAAATAAAATGTATATCGTAATGTAGATTTGAAGCGGGGGTGTGTAGATTGAATAAATTGATATATGTGAAGTTAATTTGCTTTATAAATGTGAATGCACTTTAAAATATAAATTAAAACTGTGAATATAATCATTATACTGGAGAAATTTATAAGTACACATCTGCATCTTGTTCCAACTTGAAAATCAATCAAATTTTTGAACTTTTGTCAAAAGAATTATGATGCCTTCAATGTATTCACTTTTCTTAAAAGTTAGAAATTCCTTTGAAATATATATTTATACATAATAATGATAAATAGTGTCTACAGATAAAATTACATTTTTTTTTTAAAAAAATAATTATTATAAATGCATGCAAACGAATCAATATTTTGATTGTGTACAAAAGGTGTGTTCAATTCAGAAATGGAGCCTCTCTGAGTTTTGAATTTGATTTTGAATAATAAAATTTTGAATGTGATTTTGAATATAATATTAAAAGTAGAAAAATAAATATTAATTTGATATTTAAAAAAAAAATAGTTAAAAACCTTGAAACAAACAAGAGCAAAAAATTTGCAGAATTTTGAGTTTTGAAATGACTGCAATTGCAAAATTTCGAAGGTAAATACATCAATATTATTATTAGTATGTTCTCAAATTAAAAATAATATATTTGTATTACAAAATAATATGTATATACATACATATAGTTATAAAAACTGATATATATATATCATTACCGCTGTGCATTATATTATCAAATCACCATATGTATATAGACAAGCAAAATACTTAAAAATTGCAGCCTTCTTCTTTCACATGTATACTGATCAGTATCCATTTTAATTGATTTTATAATTATCCAAATCTATGTAAATTTAAGTTGTGAGGAATCATATTTAGTACAAAATGTGACTATTATAAAATTGATTGACTAGTCATTATTAGTTAATATATATATACAGAGTACACATAAAAATGTATGCACAGTCAACATGTAATGTAATTATAATCAATTTTTTTTCATGATAGTTGATTGATATGATATATTCAAAGTTGACTGTACTGTACGCGCATGAATTATACAATATGCTCTTAAGCCCTATTTCTCGTATGTAATAATCATTATATATCATAATATAAATATAATAATTCCATATTTGAAATTACATATTATGTCATAATATCTAGTAAAATAAACTACTCACTTCGTGCCACATTTTGTGTGCGATTTACTCTTTATACAAAAAAATATAATTAACAAATAATTAAAAGTACGTTAATAAAAATAATTATTGTATAATAAAATTATATTATAAATTAAAATTGAAATAATTAAATAGTATAATTATAATTAAAAAATAATAAAATCTAATTAAAATATATAATTATATTTTCTAAATAAAAAAGAACAAATAAAATAAAACAGACGAAAATAAAAATAGTGAAAAAAAAAAAAAAAAAAGGTTAGAACTGATAGAGTATATATATTATCACAAACATTTTGATAAATTTTGGTTTCACCTCAATCAGATGCGTAGATCATCAAAGCAATGGTAATATAAGTGTGTTTGTTTTGGGGATTGGATTTTAAATATACTATATCTCATTTTTTTCTCCCAAAAATATCAAATCATACACTTATTTTTCATTTTTTATATTATACTAAAATTCAATTTCACATTCAAAACATCACATGAACACCTATTTTATCACATTATACAACTATTCAAATTCAAAAATTTTACTATTCAAATCCCAACTCAAAATCCAAACTCGCAGCAATCACACCCTCCAAAGTTTGTATTTAATTCTCATAATACACATAGGTTACAATAATATATATATATATATATCAATTTATTTGTTTATTTATTTTTTACTGTAAACAAATTCTCAATTCTATTTTTAGTAAAAATCATTTTTTTTCTTGTATTCTTTACTAAAAAAAGAACACATTAAAATTTGTACCCAAGTATAATCTTGAAAGCATTACTTACTAAATATATGAAACATACTTATGCAAAATTGTACTCCCTCCGTCCAAACAACATGCAATTTTTATTTTTTGCACAGATTTTTAAGTAAATAATATTAAATATAATAATTTATAAATTAAGTGATGTGATAAAGAGAAAAATATATATTTTATTTTTTTATTTGGATGATATAAAGGAACAAAGTATATAACAGAAATTAAATATAATTAATTATTTCCTATTTTAAAAATATTGCAATATATTTGGAACATATCAAAAAAAAAAATATATTGTACAGTGTTTGAGACGGAAAAAGTACTGGATAATGTAGTCTTGTGTTAATAAAAGAAAGATTTTGTAAATTTCTTCAAAAAAATAAAGATTGTGTATACTTTTTCACTAACACAAATAAATTATATAATTCAAATAATTATAGATATCCTAAAATGGTAATACGCCTATTACCCTACCGCAATGTGTCTCTCATTTCATAGCTTTGACACTCAAAACTTTTCCATCTTTCTTATATACATTTATTGTTTTTCCCTTATTTATTACTCTATATACTTATTTTCAAATAACTTTTAGTTAGAATTTCAATAATTTTGAAATATAAACCATTGATGTGGCTTTTGAATGATAAATGAAAAAATTAAATATACTATAAAGTAGAAACTCAAATTTCATGAGCTACTACAAGGATCCAATAATTCTGCTTAGATTATTTCACTTGGTTTTCTTCCAGCACAATCTGCAATAAAAAAGAAAAATACATTATTTTTTCTCTTAATAGTGGGAGATAACACAACTTTTATTGAAAATATTGTATATAAAAAGCTTAATTCTTCACTCGAAAAGAAATCTCAAATTCAAAACGTCCAAAATAAACAAACAATGATGAATATTTGCAAACATTTACATTTAATATAAGATTTTGAAATTTTGAAAATTCTTTAAAATAACAAAAAATTGAATACTTAGAAATAACATATGAAAGAATAGATAGTTACTATGCTGTATTTCTAAAAAAATTACTTATGTCAACACTTTGAAAATATATTTGTTTCTTCACTTGGTGATCATATATATAACATACTACTATATCCTTTTGAGAGAAATTAGAATTGTTACTTTATAATGGTGGATTTTTATCATGTTTTTTACTACAGTATGAAGTCGATCATCGAACGATACAACAAAGCAAAAGATATACCTAGTCAGTTAGCAAATCCGGCTTCCGAGGTCAAGGTAATCTCCTCTATACAATGCTTCTTTCCATATCCTCTACAGTAACTTTCATATCAATGGAAGACACAGTCCAATAATAAATAGCAAATGAAAAAGACCGAAACAGAAATTAATTTGATCAATGAATCAACCTTGCAATAATCTTATGTACGGGTTGTCCATATAGAACGAGTCGATGAATTGAGATAATTGCAACAACGTGCACTTTAAGGTTGATTAACTATTAAGGTACAATGGTAATAACTTATTAGTCATCTGGCTTTACTCATAATATCGATTTTAGTTATCCCCACTAGCTCGACTCTATTTTGAAACTTTCCTCTGTTAAGCATACTCTGTGTGCACACTAAACTTTGCTCTATTTTTTCATTTATTTTATAATATCCAATTCTTAAAATTCTCTATAACCATTTCTTCTCGTAAAACATCATATCAAAAAATGTAGTCATATAATACCATCAAAGTGAAAAATGATGCAATTAGTGGCATATTTTGAAGTAAGTCACAAATATAAATCATAGATTTGGGCGCTTTATACGCTACTTGACACAGATAACAAATAATGCTACTATTCTGCTTCTCAGTATTGGCAAAGGGAAGCAGCTATTCTGAGGCAACGTTTAGAGAATCTTCGGATGAATCATTGGTACATTTCTTACTTCCTGATTGACATAGACACTAATACTAAGCAAATAGGAACGATATCGACCAAAAATAATATTCTTGCTTATCAATTCATGGAGACATAAGAATGCATCATTAATTCTCTCTTAATGGATGTGATGTATGATTGACTATAGAGCACCAAATTTTAGTGAATAGTACTGCAGAAGGAAAAGGTAATATGGTAAAGCCAACTCTCCCCTGATTTCAAAGAGAAATAAATGCCTACTTAAAGAAGAAAAATAAATGTTATAATTAGTAGCAAAAGGGTGAGGTGAAACATAAACTTTTGCAATTAAAAAAATAAAATAAAATAATAAAAATAATAAGGTCTGGTTCTTAAATTAGAAGGCTGGACATTTTATGAGTTCAGGGGAGAAATTGTCATTTTGGTGCACAACTAACAGAAATGATATATATATATATATATATATTGGTATCATCAATTATCATATGGTCACATTTAAAATTAAGGACATGGCATTGGTCTAGAAGTTGAAGGGTTTGTTTACTTGGAGCTTGGTTGTGTGTTTTAGTTTTGATATAATGTTTTGTGAAAGAAAATAATGTATCATTATGGGACTCAATTCTAGATTCCTGTCTCCAAGGCATTATGTGAATGTGATGTGTTGAATACATAGCAAAGCAATTCCCCACTTTGACTTCTTCCTCTTCTTCAATTCTAAGGATTTATTTTTCTATATTTCTCACATTGGTAGAAATTTGAAGTATGAAATATTTGCCAATGAAGTTGTGATGAAGAGACTTAAGTTGTGATGAAGAGACTTTTAATTGTAGGCATCGGGAAATAGTAACCCCATAGCTAATTATATGTCAAATATTCTTAACTTTTATTGATGGAGTATTGATTAATTCATTACGAGGATTACATTATCTAAATAAAAGTTCTTAAAATACCGAGACACCATTCGTAGCTTATTTCTAGTATTGATTTTGACTGTATGTATGTTTGAATGCAATAATATATCTGCAAAGAAGTATTAGTTACCATGGAATTCAGATATAGGTAACAATTGAATAATCACTTAACCTAGGCAAGCCTCAGTCTAATTAAAATTGCTGCATCGCGACTAATTGTCACTAAACTTTTCAAGGAGTAGCTCTAGTCGAAGCTGGGGTTCAGCAAGCCCCGTTTCCACAAGTCTTTCTATAATAGTTTAGGTTTATGTCTACAAGAAATAGCGAAAAAGATTTTTCAATGCATTTGCTTGTTGCGACGAGTTCAGAGGTTTTTTTCTTAAACCTAAACTCAAGTATTATCCAAACAACTGTATGCTTTATGAGTCTATGACTATGACTATAACATTATTATCACCATGAATGTTTACTACCAATGAAGTTTACGTACAGGAACTAAATTGGGTTTTTAAAGATTCGACAAGCAATAAATTGGTATTCAAGTCATACCAAAAAAAAGAAGAAAAAGTACTAATTTCCACAACAAGAATTATCTATAGATGGTGAATAAATTTAATATTATGCAGTAGTAAATAAATTTGCGGTATTTATATGTGAACACATATATCTTGTATACAATAGATCTTCGGTTACTTTACATTTGAACTTTTTGGGTAGAAACTCAGAAGTATCATAAAGTGGTATTCAAATACCTGCCTAATACGATACTAATAGCATTTATCGTCATAGCAGTCATCTGATGGGTGAGGAGCTTACCAGTTTGAATGTCTCAGAACTACAGAATCTGGAGAACCAATTGGAGAATAGTCTCCAGGGTGTCAGAAAGAGGAAGGTTCCGACAGTAATTTGATAACAAGATTAAATCTCGGATTCATGTATAAATGAATTATTGACATTAATTTCGACTCTTTGTAGGACCAGGTTTTCACTGATGAGATACAGGAATTGAGTCGAAAGGTTGCACAAGATTGTTAGTTACATGCATTAAGCTTAACCAAATATGGTACTACTCTACATGACAAGCTAATTTTCTTCGCGATTTTGTTACAGAAAAACTTGATCCAGCAAGAAAATTTGGAGCTGCATAAAAGGGTAAACCTAATTCATCCAAATAAATGCACACACTCACGCATAAGAAGACCTATGACACGTTATAAAAATGCTTTATATTTCAGCTATACGGCACAAGTGACACGACAGGAACAGACAGCAATTCATTTATTACTACAAGCCTTAGCATCAACGAGGATCCGAATGCACCTGTCTGTCTTCAGCTTTGCCAGCCGGAGGAAAAGAATAATAACATGCCAGCACCAGCTAAATTTGGGTAACGAATTTATCATCTCTAAGTTCAAAAGTTCGTCAAAATGATTTACTCATCTTCCCCGCTCTTCTAAGGACAATCCTTTTTTACAGCAGCCTACAACTACTTTAGCAAAGACTATTAATCTTCAAGGATGGAGCATTTATGAGGAGTGGTAAAGAAACACTAGATACCGACTTAAAAACAGATTATTGTGTTGGTTTGTGTCCTGAGGGGGTGAAAGAAATTGTGTTATTTCTGAAAGGAGTCATGAACTGTGTGCTTTCTATGTTTGTGTGTACATATTCTATCAAACAATGATTGAATTGAGATGATAATATATAGATCTATTGATCAAATTGTAGGATAAATTATATATAAATACACAAATAAACAAATGTGAGAGCAAGTGTGCATACTAGTATTTGGTTGTGAATATACAAACCATGATTGAAGTTTGAACATAAGAAGTGTTTCTAATTATAAGAGAGAGACGGGAAGAAGGATATTCATAACCTAGATATTGTACTGCAGATGTGTTACTCTGTATTTCACAAGAAGAATTAACAAAGATGCTGGATTCTAATCTCAGACAGTTTTGGACTGAAAAATAAGATTCAGAATAAAGGGTAAATAGAAAGCACATCGACCAGATGGAAAATGTGCTGTGGATAAAACCAGCGAATTGGAAGTACTAGATTATGAAGTTGGAAAAAACGAGAGGCTTTCACGATCCCAGTTTAGGCTTTGTTCTTGTTGGGTTAGGATCAATATAAAGGAATTGTTCTAATGTGGAAAACCTAATGCCCTTTAGAATTAGGTCCGTCAGCACTCTAAATTCAAAGAACAAGTTGGCAATCCTCTAAACCCGATGAGGAATAATTTGAAACCTAGCAACTGAGAGAGGTTTATTTGACAAGGTTCTGGTGACTTTGGTGAGTTAGCAAACTATTGTTCACTGCTTAATCTATGCTCCGTCTAACTTTGCTGACTTGAAAAAAAACCACAAAACTATGAACTCGGAAAACGGGCCAGAAAATTAACAATGCCAAAAAATAGGTATTAATGAATAGCCAAAAATACCTAATCATTGAGCATTGAAATCACAACCACCTCAACTTTACTGAAGAATTCCCTGCCAGTGCCACAATGGCCTTCCAAACTTTGCTAAACTTCACTATGTCGGCAATGCTCAACCTTGCTCTGTAAAAAACAACTTAAATCAACATATATCCAAGATCTTCTGATGTATGAATCTTGGTACACACCAATTTCCTTAACACTCAATGGATTTGATTGTTTTGTACTAAGTTAATAACACTCTTATCACAATTCGCAAAAAGAAAATCTTATATTGAGCTTCAGATAAGTCTGAGTTCTAATTGAAGTGAAGATTTCCAACTAATATCAAGTCTATTGGAGGTTGAAAAGAAGCAATATGCATTTACATCCCAATCTTCATAAACTACCCAAAACAGCTCATTCATGTGAGAGCTAATAAAAAGGACCAATAAATAAATCTTGGAAAGAAGCAAATTCATATTGTATCCATAATGTAATTCTCTCAAAGATTTAATATATATATCTTGACAGTAAACAAAGCTACTTATAATCTAACCATAACAACATACTAAATAAGTAATCTCTATTCGCATAGATTGCGTTTTCAAAGCACCAAAGCGAACACCATGCCAATATACGCACACACATATGCAAACTCTGTGATGCATAAACTCAATCTACATTATGTATATCCCGAGATACAAAACGAACAATATAATTCAGCTCACCTCATTTAATATAACTATTAACTTCACTACGTAAAAATTGGTAACATGTTAATTAAATAAATGGATGAAAGGATTATAAACATTAATACCAAAGAAAAAAATAAATCACCAACTCTTGCTTTCTAAAAATGGAGAGATTTATGCACAAGTTATACATAGGTTAAGCTTGATGGACTGATGTAAATTATCAAGCCGTAGATTTTTATATTACAAGCCAATGTGTGATACATACTTATGAGGCAACTTTGATCACCCTGTCGCAAAATCAACAAACTCCATAATCGTAATTAAGTCTAAACTCAACTTCTTTAAAAGTTTATATACATTGTCAATCACAACATAATTATATAAAAACTTAGGCTTCTCTCATGCATCTCTATTGATAAGAATGCACCAGAGAAATCATTGATTCATGTATGCATATATATATATATATTGTTAATGATAATGTATATAAAGTTTTTAAGGAATTGTATTTATACCTTATTATAACCGTGGGACTTGTTGATTTTGCAGCCAGTGAACTCAAGATTATTTCACAAATAAGCATCGCAAAAACTCTTTGAGCATATCAGCATACAAATCTATGGGATTTGAGAATTCGGAGTTGCCCATTGAACCTAACTTTGGTACCTGCAGTTAATAATAATTTTTTCTTAAAATATATATATATACAATGAATTAAATTTGGTTTCAAATGGTGTCGTATTTTCTTTTGTATGAATATGTAGTTTTTTATATTATGTTGATATAATATATACGTTGCCATATGTAATGTTGAGAAGTCATTAGCCATTTTTTACTTGTTTTTTACTTGATGAGCTAAACAGTATCTGGTATATTACATATGAGAATCCATTAAATAATATATTTTATGTAGTGTTTTAGTTTAGTTCTACATTTCACGCTTCGACTATGATTTGAGTTGAACACTCCAAATAAAGGTTAATTAATTTGTACTTGAGTTGATATGATTAGTAACGGAATAATGTGTACTACAGACATATATGTGTGGTCTGTGTTTGGAATCTTTTGTAATTACTATATCAATTAATGGTTGCTTCCTTAACAAAGAAGTTTTAACTGTCAGTTTATTTTATCAACCAGCATATGAATTAGAGGTTTTGCAGTTAGTTTTTTGAAGCGCAAGAAAGAAATGCATACTATACTAGGGAAACATCACTTGAAACTTATGAAATGCGTAGTTTTACGAAGACTAAGGATCGTATATTTTTAGTTAAAACTTTTTTTTTCCATGTATTTTAGTTATTATAAGTTGTGTTTACATCAACATAGTAGAACATGAGCAGCAATATAGTTTAGCTCTCAGAATTTAATATGACTATTAACTTTATAAACATTAATACTAAAGAAAAACGAAAATTAAAACACACTCTTTGAAAGCAAGCAATAGAAAATGTATGCTTTTTAGGAAAAAAATAAAAAAAGAGAGAGAGAGAGTTATGTAAAAGTTATACCTAGGTTAGGCTCGATGGACTGATCTAATTATCAAACCATATATTTGCATATTCTAAGCCTTTCCACGATACATACTTGTGAGGCAACATTGATGTTATCAAGTGCAAAATTAACAAACTCTATAATCATAATCAGATCTAAATCCAACATCTTTAAAAGTATATATACAGTATTGTCAACCATAACATAATTATATAAGAACTTTGACTTCTCCCATGCATCTTTTAGTGATAAGATGCACAAGAGAAATCATTAGTTCATGCATACATATGATGTTGTTGACAATAGTGTATATAAACTTTCAAAGGAGTTGGATTTAGCTCTGATTACAACGACAAAGTTTGTTAATTTTGTAGCCAGTGAACTCAAAGTTGTTTTCACAAATAAGCATCGCAAAAATTCATGGAGCACACAAACCTATAAGATTTGAGAATTCGGAGTTGCCCATTGAACCCACTTCGGAGTAACTTGCACTTAAAAAGTCTTTTTTTCTTAAAAAACATATAATTAATTATATTTGCTTTCAAATGGTGTCATATTTCCCCTTGTAGTATTAGTAGTATGTTCATTTTTATATTTTGTTGATATATAATTAATACAATGCTATGTGTAATGTTAACAAATTATTAATCATGTATTTTAGTTGTTATAAGTTGTATTTATACCACATTAGCATCAGCTCACCATATTTAATATAACTATTAACTTCACTACATGAAAATTAGTAACCCATCAATATAATCAACAGTTTATAAACATTAATGCATTAATACGAAAGAAAATTGAAAATTAAATCACTCTCTGAAAGCAAGCAATAGAATAGAAAGTGTATGCTTTTTATTTATTTTTTTTTAACTATGGACGGATCTAAATTATCAAATTGTAGATTTGCATTATCCCAAGTCTTTTTGCGATACATACTTGTCAGGCAACCTTGATGTTATCAAGTGCAAAAAATCAACAAATGTCGTAATCGTAATCAGATCTAAATACAACTCATTTAAAAATATATATACAATATTGTCAATCACAACAAAATTATAGAAGAACTTAAGGTTTCTCCCATGCATCTTTAGTGATAAGAATGCACAAGAAAAATCATTAGTTCATGTATACATATAATGTTGTTAACAATAATGTATGTAAACTTTTGAAGGAGTTGGATTTAGACCTGATTACAACGACGGAGTTTGTTAATTTTGTAGCCGGTGAACTCAAGGTTGCTTTACAAATAAGCATCGCAAAAATTCATGGAGCATACAAAGCTATGAGGTTTGAGAATTCCAAGTTGCCTATTGAACCTAACTTCGGAGTAATTTGCACTTAAAAGTTTCTCTCTTAAAATAACATACAATTAATTATATTTACTTTCATATAGTGTCATATTTCCTTTTGTATTAATATGTTGGTATTCATATTATGTTGATATAATTAATACAATACTATGTGTAATGTTAACAAGTTATTAATCATTTTTTACTTATGAGCTAAAAAGTATCACCATTTGCAGCATAGTACATATGAGAATCCATAAAATAATATATTTTATGAGGTGTTTTAGTTTAGTGCTACGTTTAACGCTTCGACCATATCGAGTTGAACACTTCAAATATAGATTAATTACTTTGTACTTGAGTTGATAAGATTAGTAATGGAACAATGTGTACTATGGATATATGGGCTGTATGTATTTGGAATCTTTTGTAATTACTAAATTAGTTAATGGTTGATTTCTTAACAAAGAAGTTTTAACCTTTTTGGTTTTTTCTATCAAACAGCATGCAAATTAGAAGTTTTGTAGTTAGTTTTTGAAGCGCAAGAAGAAATGCATCTTCCTTACTAAAGAGACATCACTTGTATCTCCCTATGAAACGAATAGTTTTACGAGGACTAAGGAGCATATGTTTTTTACTTAAATCTAATTGTGTTATCATGTATTTTTTATACAACATGAGCATCAGCTCACCATATTTAATATAACTATTAACTTCACTACATGAAATTAGTAACCTATCAAAAAATCAACATTTCATAAACATTAATTTATATTATACCAAAGAAAATTGAAAATTAAATCACTCTTTCAATAGAATAGAAAATGTATGTTCTAATAATTAAAAAAAAAAAAAGATTGATGTACAAGTTATACCTATGTTAGGCTCGATGGACATATCTAAATTATCAAACCGTAGATTTACATTATCCCAAGTCCTTTTGCAATACATACTTGTCAGGAAACCTTGATGTTATCAAGTGCAAAATCAACAAATGCCGTAATCGTAATCAGATCTAAATACAACTCTTTTAAAAATATATATAGAGTATTGTCAATCACAATATAATTATAGAAGAACTTAAGGCTTCTCCCATGCACCTTTAGTGATAAGAATGCACAAGAGAAAGTTCATGTATAGATATAATGTTGTTGACGATAGTTTATATAAACTTTTAAAGGAGTTGGATTTAGACCTGACTACAACAATGGAGTTTGTTCATTTTGTAGCCAGTGAACTCAAGGTTGCTTTATAAATAAGCATCGCAAAAATTCATGGAGCACACAAAGCTATGGGGTTTGAGAATTTGGAGGTGCCCATTGAACCCAATTTCGGAGTAACTTGCACTTAAAAATCTTTTCTCTTAAAAAACATACAATTAATTATATTTGCTTTCAAATTATGTCATATTTCCTTTTGTATTAATATGTTCGTATTTATATTATGTTTGATATAATTAATACGATGTTACGTGTAATGTTAACAAGTTATTAATCACAATGAGCAAAACGGTATCACCACCTTGTGGTGTACTTCGTATGAGAATCCATTAAATACAAGTTATTAATCACAATGAGCAAAACGATATCACCACCTTGTGGTGTACTTCATATGAGAATCCATTAAATAATATATTTTATGTGGTGCTTTAGTTTCGCACGTTGTTCAGTTTAATACTCCAAATAGAGGTTGATTACTTTGTATTTGAATTGATATGATTAGTAATGGATAATGTGTACTACGGACATATATGCTAAGTATGTATTTGGATCCTTTTGTAATTACTAAATCAATTAACGATTATTTTCTTAATAAAGATGTTTTAACTTTCTCAATTTATGTTGTCAGCAGCATGAGAATTAAAAGTATTGTAGTTAGGTTTTGAAGTGCAAGAAAGAATTGCATCTTTCTTGTGAATAAGATATCACTCGATATTAATGTAAGTCATAGTTTTATGAGAACTAGGGAATATATTTGCTAACGTAAATATAATATTGTTCTCATGTATGTTGGTCATTAAGCAATGTGTTTACATCAACCAAGATGTGATTGTAGAGGATTATTTTGGAAATGGTCATGGAAAAGCTATTAGACATGTTATCATTTTACTTTATTCCGAGAAAAGTTAGTTGGCTAGGAATTTAATATATCGTCTCTAGGAAAAGCTACTCTTAGCAAGACATTAAATATTTAAATTGTCACAAATTTTCGACATCTATCATAACATTAAGTTCTAAATGCAAAAGAGTAGCTTTTAAAGGAACAACCATCACACATTACATGATGCATATATCTTTAAAAATATTAAAGTTCCCATGTTTGCATAGATTGCATTTTGATATATCACAACACAATGAAAGAAAAATGAGCACATTAATGCACTCATTTAGAATTGTATGTTGCAAGTCTTATGATTTGTTAAGCCACTTTTTATTATAAACTTTATTAAATTTAATAAAACCTATTAGCTTAACTATATAAAAATAGTACCAAATAAAGATTAATATATTGATACCAAAGAAAGATATATATATCACAAACTTATTGAAAACAAGCAATAAAAATTGTATGCTTTATAGAAATAGAGAGGTTTATGAACAAGTTATACTTAGGTCAGCTTAATGGACTGGTCTAAATTATCAAACCGTAGATTTGCATATTCCAAGCCTTTTTGCGATACATATTTGCGAGGCAACCTTGATGTCACTCGGTCGCAAAATCAACAAACTTCATCATCGTAATCGGGTCTAAACCCAACTACTTCAAGAGTTTATGTACATTATCGCAACTGTAACATATTTATATAAAACTTATGGTTTCTCTCGTGCATCACTATTGATAAGAATACACAAAAGGAAACATTGATTTCATGTATGAATATGTTGTGGTTGACAATGATGTATATAAACTTGTAAAGGAGTTGGATTTAGACCTGATTACAATGATGAGGTTTGTTGATTTGCATCCAGTGAAATTAAGGTTGCTTCACAAATAAGCATCGCAAAAATTCTTAACATACAAAGCTATGGGGTTTGAGAATTCAAATCTGTCCATTAAACCCAACTTCAGAGTAACTTGCACTTAAAGTCTCTTTTTCTTCACAAACATACAATTCATTATATTTGCTTTCAAATGGTATCATATTTTGTATGCTCGTTATTATAGTTTTTTTTTAAAAAAAAATTAATGCATTACTATAAGTATAGTTGGGAAGTCATTTGTTACTAGATGAGCTAAACAAGATAGCCGCCACGCATGGCGTACTTTATGTTGAGAATCCTTTAGTTTAGCACTTGAACTGCAATTATCATCTAGAGGTTACTTACTTTGTATTTGAGTTGTTATGATTTGTAATGGAATAATGTTGTGTACGAAGTGGCAAGAGATTCTCAGCCACCCAATACTCCTTGTCCACAATCCCCACACTATCATGTATACATACACATATGATATATGCATTATGAGTGTGGGGACTGGGAACGGAAGTCTTGTTGGACTGAAGAACCCACTAGTACGAAAGACTCATATGAGATGTACATGGAATCTTTTGTAACTATTAAATCAGTAATGGTTGCTTTCTTAAACAAAAAATTCAACTTTTTCAGTCTATTTTATAAATAAGTATGAGATATTATATATAGTATTAGTTATAGAAAAGATTACGGCAAAGTTACTAGACATGTTATCACTTTACTTTATTAGTCAACAACAAAGTTGGCCACAATTTAATATTTTGTCCTTAGGAAAAGAACGTCTTCACGAAACATTAAATGGTAACAAATTTAAGACATCTAACAAAATGTGTTCATTTAAGTAGTTTTTAAATGAATAACCATCATGGTAAGTGGAAGATAAACAAAAACATATGCTCTTGGGTAGCCTGGGGAAGCTGGCATTCGAATGGTTATTAAAGATCATCAAAATCATGTCTTTATCCTTTACAAATTCAATGGCATTGTCAACTCGAATGATGCATAATTGTTTGCAACTCTTTAAATTTGGTAGAGGAATCTAGGACCTTCCTAAAATCATTTTCGAAAGAGATGCCAAAAGCTCTTTGGAGGTTAGACCCCAGATACAAAAGCTTCTTGGAGGTCTAACTTGCAGCAATAATTCATCTTCAAATGTCCTCTAGTCTCATTGTAATACATTTTCACATGTGCAAATGTTCTCGTGGTTTTTCTTTCTTGCTATGTTCAGAGCTTACGGCGGCAATGATCTCTTTTGTTGGCTTTAATATGTATTTTCTCTTGTGCTTCCTTATCGGCAAGGATCTCTTTTGTTGGCTTTAGTCGATGTTTTCTCTTGTGCTCATATGTATTCTTGTTTCAACGTATTCCTTGAGGCCCTATCCTCTAAAATTATACTCTTACTGACATCTTAATGTATATACATCATTTATCTCCAAAAAAGAAGCAACCATCATCTACTACATTATACACTATCTTTTAAGTTCATTAGCATCATCTTAGACATAGAAGGATTATTCATGGAAATCGATACAGTGAAGTTTGAAATGTCTAGAGGCAAATAGAAAGTCTAGAGGCGGAGTATTGCAATTGGTATTTTAGAGATGGTTTTTCTTATGCTAATAAGTATAAAAGAAGGCAAACAATTAGTCGTTGATGTAATCATCATAGCCGCACTGATCACAATAGCCAATGATAAACTTCTTCACTCAAAAGACTTGTTCTCTTGTTCCCTCTTGTCCTCCAAGTGCAAAATATGATTGATTTTATACTGCTTAAAAGCAAGGCTGGAATATGTAGTGGTGTTTTAAGTATTCAATGTCATTCATTAGGGAATAGGCCCATGTATACATAAATAGTAAGTCCTTGATACTTCACGGAATTAGGCGATCAATGCCTAATATAAGGAGTTAGGGAGCCTCTACTCAGGAAAAGTTGACGTTAAAATCAAGAGGTTGAAGATGAAATAAAGTGACCACCACCTATATAAAGTCAACAAGCTAACAAGGCATAGAAATTCAATTGAATGCAAGCAGTCTTCAATTGCTTGTTTGGAGTGCCATAAACAAGGCCACAAGACAATTAATTGTCCCAAAGAAATCTTGGACCTTCATCCAAGAAATTTCAGGTTTAAGGTGAAAGAAATCTAAGGGTGTGTTTGTTTGAGAATTTGGATTTCGGTTTGGAATTTGAATAGTAAAAATTTTGAATTTGAACAGCAATAAAAATTAAGTGTTCCATTTTATGTTTTTGGAGAAAATTTTTTGTAGGAAAAGTGAAAATCCCACAAAATCCTTCAAACAAACACACCCTTAGAGAAAAGCAGCCAAGTTATAAAAGTCTCACTTTCATTTAGTTACAAAGGCAACATTGCAGAATATATGAAACAGTTTAGAAAGTTATCACATAATCAGAGAAAATGGACATTATAAACTTCCAACTGTGAATCCACGGAGAAAAGTTGCATAATGGTTTGAAGTGGCTATATTTCGAGTCCACCAATCAGCAGCATGAAGGAACAGAGCACATGTGCAATGCAACTGTTAGCACTTCACTGTAACATAATGAAATTAATCAAGTGCATCATCCAGCAGCTTGGAACATTTGTCAGAGTCACACAATTTTTTATTATATGCAAAAATAACATGCTTCTAAGGTAGGGATTGATTTCCTCAAATCTTCTCATCAAGAATGTTTGAAGACAGTCAATTTAAATTTGAAGATGGAAGAGGGAGTTTATAGACACAACACAAGAATTATAATTATTTAGTTTCCCAATAATTTCTTGAAGATATTCCTAATCAAACCCCACAACACGTAATATTGTGTATAATTGAATTATTATTAAGAAAATTGTTTCAAAATTCTAAGGAACACAATTGTGTTTTAGAATGTGTTGTTCTAAAAATTCTAAATGGAAAATATAAAGTTGTAGTGACTTGTAAATAAAAAATAGCTTTTGAACCTAATTCTATCGAACAAAGAGAAAACAGCTGTGACGTGTTTATAGAATAAGTATATTCAGCAACTACAAACAAACAAAAACACGTAACATCTGTAACACACAAAACAATGGCAAAAAACCATCGAGAAATTAAACCGCAGGCAATAGTAATACCAGAGAAAAGGATCACCTACGTCATCTAATCCATCTACGCCAAGCTACCATTGGCGAAATCTGCCGCTCCAGTTCACCTGTTCAAAATCACAAAACAGAAACAAAATCAAAACACCTATAAGAAGCCTAACAACAATTTCCATACAAATAATGCAAAATCACATAATCCACACATACAACCAAAGATCCAGAACGGAAAAAACACCTTCAATCGCTAATCGATATGCGAACAACGAGATACACAATCCACGAGATTCTCGATGTGACCAAACCTGATTATACAATCACGTAGGCAAACAACGCCACCAACTCGTCGCAACAAAAATGCATACATATCCGAAATCCGCCACTTCCGTTCACCTGTTCAAAATCACGAAACAGAAACAAAATCAGAACACTTCAAAGAAGCCTAACAACAATTTCCACACAAGTGAAGCAGAGAATCAGAGAATCCACACATACAACGAAAAGTTCCAAACGCATCCTATCAAAACACCTTCCAACGCTAATCGCTATACGAACATCAAGAAAGTGACCAGTCCAAATCTGATTATATAATCACGTCGGCAAACACCGCTACAAAAATGAGCAGATAAACGCGGAAAGCACCTCCGCGCCGCCATTGATACAGTCGGTGTATCCAGAGAGAAAAAGGCGATTTAAATAATGCTTTATCTGCCACAAAAGAACAATGGACGCCTGCATTTATTGCTTTTTGCCAGTGATGAATCAGAGCATTTAAATCATATTTCTGTGGTGACGCGGAATCGACCACGTAGCCCCCGTCCCCACCTCTCGTTTTCAAATACTACTCAATTCTATTCTTCCCCTATAATTTCTTTTTACTTTTTATTTTTATCTGTTAAAAATATAATGATGTACTTTAATTAAATTTTAAATAAATTATTTATTTATTTTAATTTTAATTTATAATTATTTTTATTAAATAATAATTATTTTAATTAATATATTTCTTAATTATTTACTAAGAATGTATTTGTTTGAAAGTTTGGATTTTAAGTTGGAATTTAAATAAAAATTTTGAATTTGAATAGTTGTATGATATGATATTTTGAATGTAAAATTGATTTTTAGTATAATATAAAAAATAAAAAATAAGAGCTTGATTTGATATTTCTGGAAAAAAAATAGGATGAATAGTAAAATTCAATCCCCAAACAAAGACACCCTAATTATATTTTACCTGAATTATCGTATTTACATAATAAATCCAAAATATCTGGGACGGAGGGACTATAATGCAGGGTGTGTTTCTTCACGGAGTTTCGAAGAAATTTGAGTTTGGCTTTGGTTTTTATTTGAATTTTAAGGTGAGTTTGAATTTATGTATTTTTTTTTTGTGTTTGGATAGTTTGAATTTATGTACTTTTTTTTGTGTTTGGATTTGGGTTGGATTTTGAGAGTTTTGATGTGTATTAATTTGATGGTAATAAATATAATAATATAAATATATATTAATTTATATAATTTGATACAAATTTATTTTATATATATATATATACTTATAAATTTTTATTTATTAATATTATAAAAAAAATTTATTCTCATATATATTATATATATATTATTCCATTATAATTATTATAATTCATTTTTATATTTATAATTTTTAAAAAGAAAAGAAAACACAAAGCCTTTTCACACTATGAATTTGCTCATACTTGGGAAACACACCCACAGTAATAATAATTATTACTATTAGTCAAATTAAATAAATTTAGGTGAATTTGTTCGAACATTTTTGAGAAACTTATTTATATAAATTTTTTTATAAAAAAAATAAATTTAAATATTTATTTTATATATATATATATATATTATATTAATAATTAATTTTATATTTAAAATAAGTTATAATCACCACTCAAATTTCACCTCACTTGATCATTCTTTATGTGACTGATTATTTTTAATGAACAGTAAAGTAGATAAAAATACTAAAAAAAACTTTAAATAAGAATGAAAGAATTATATTTTTAGAAAATTTTAATGAAAAAATTATAAATATAGTATTTTTTATTATTTTAAATTTAGATTAATATTATTTATTTTATACAATCTTAATAAATTTATATTTAAAAAAAAAACATATCAGATTAAATTATTATTTAAATAAAAATTAAAAACAATATTTAATTTTAAATTACATTTAAACAAATCCAATAATATTGATAATTTCGTATTTCTAACTCTGTCAGAGTATATTACACGCAACGGCTAGCCACCTACCTCTTATCTGTCCGTCCGTACATTAATGACAACCGTTGCTGCCCGTCCACCCTACATCTATTGTTCTGCCTTCAATTTTTTTAGTTAGGATTAATTACTTTTTATTTTAGCTTTATTAGCATTTATCTTTTTTATTATGTAATTTTATATTTTTTATTAAAAGATAGTAAAATTTAAATTTGTGTGTTTGGTTTTGAATAAAATTTGAATTTGTTATTTAAATTTTAATTTAAATAATATTTTAATTCGAAACTTTTATAATAATAGCCTACTTGATAAATATATTATTTACTTCTTTTGGTTCATTAAAATTAGCTAATTTGAATCGGATACAAAGATTAATAAAAATAAATATTTTATTAAAAATATAATATAAATAAAAAATATTTTTTTTATGTAGTTAGAATTTTACAGTATGATTTATATGTGATAAAATTTATTATATTTATGATTTGAAATCATATTTTATGTGTGGTTGGTAAAATTACCTGGATTTATATTTCAAAATCCAATTTGTTTTACAAATTAATGAAATGATTTGGATTTTTTATATTTTAAATGACATAATTATCTTTCAACAATAAATTAAATTTTACCTCCATTTTTTTTTCCGTGAACTTACTTTTTATTTTTATTAAATTTAGCGTATTATAATAATTTTAAATTTAAATTTTTTAATCTTAGGGTGTGTTTGTTTGGGGATTGGATTGGATTTACACTATTCATCCAAATTTTTTTCCCCCAAAAACATCAAATCAAACACCTATTTTTTATTTTTTATATTATACTAAAAATCAATTTTACATTCAAAACATTACATCAAACACCTATTTATATTACATCATACAACTATTCAAATTCAAAATTTTTACTATTCAAACCCCCAAACAAACACACCCCTAAATAATTAAATTGTTTAATTATCTTAATCTTAATTATAATTATTTTTACTAATACACTTTTTAATTACCTATTAATTATACTTTACATCAATTATCGTATCTATGTTCATCTTATCTAGGACGAAGGGACTACTTATTATATTATAGACATTCTTTTTCATATTTAATATAAAAAAACACTTTAAATTAAAAATATAAAATTAATACACCAGTAAAATATAGATTTAAATTATTAATTTATATTTTAAATTATTAATATATTTAAATTACTATTAGTAAAATAATTAAATATAAATAAAATTAATGATTATAAATAAATTTATGATTTATAGTAGTATGTTTAAATAAAATATTATATTTTATAAATCAATAAAATATAATTTAAATGTAAATATATATACATTTAATATTATTACAAAAAGAAAAAATATGATTTTTTTATGGGATGACATAATAGTAAAATATAAAATACAATGGAATGAAATTTTAAAGTAATATAGGTACACTATTACTGAAAAATCTTCATTTGCAAGATTTTAAAATTTCATAAACTTTAAATTTCATTCAATCCCACCAAATTCCATTACAAATTTAATCAGAAATTAAAATAAATAAAAAAATAGAAATGTAATAAAATTAGTGATAATATTGTAAATAAACTTTGAATGGAAAGTAATAATTAATAATTAAATATTAATTTATTAACTTTGTCAAAATTAGTAACCAAAATAAATTTTAGATTAGATTGGATTGACTGAATTTCATACCTCCCGGTCATGGATGGGTTATAACTTATATTAGATTTGAAGATAGTGTTATTTATTGTAAATACTTGTTGAGTGAAAAATAGTAATAGTAATTAAATATTAATTTGTTAAAATTCGCCCTAATGAGATAAATTTAAAAAACAATAAAATAAATTTGAGGACTGTGAGAATATATCTTAATGCAAAAAATAAAATAAAATTAGAACACACCTTAAAATTTCAAGATAGACAACAAAATAATGCGAGAAAACAAATTTACACGAAAATTTACATACAACATTCGTATTCCCTGCAGAACAATGGTTGTATTTGTGCCCAAAACATACATAAAATTATGCTAAGAACTTTCTGAAAGATTCAATAATCAAAATTTGACAACTTCCAAGGAAGAAAGCGATCATAGGCGAACCGAATTTGCTTCGAACTAAATAATTCCCCGAAGCTATCAACATTGTTCGAAAAATATCACGAGTTTGGGGATGAATGGATACCTTTGAACCTCCAAATCACCGTCTAACTCGTCTAGAACTTGGTTTCGTTATTGCTTCGATGAGCCTGTAGGTCCATTTGTCCAGCATTCCTGCACCAAGATAATATACATACATATATATATATATTTATATATCAATGTATGTATCGATGGAATGACAATTCTCGTAGCTATTTTAGATTAACTAATGTTCTCAGAGAGCGATATAAGGTATAAATCGACAATATAATGTGCATCTTAACATAATAAAAGCAAAATATATATAAACTTATAATACATGACAAGTATGAACATATATTGTACTCTCTGTCCATCGAAAAAGTATACATGTACTTCTAGCGCAAAGTTTGAGAAATAATAATATTTTAATCGTAATAGATAGTTAAAAGTAATGTACAAGAACAATTTTGTCCTTATATTTTTGTTTAAAAGTAATTATGTAATGATAAATTAAAAGATATTTGCAAAAAAAAAATGAAAGTTTTGAAATGATTATTTTGTAATTGAATAATCCAAAAAAAATATATATACTTTGTGAATGGACGGAGGTAATAATAGTTTACACAACAAACGTTGATTTAATTCAAGATATGTGTTGTTGGTTTATAATTCATGTGCTGATCGGGACTAATCACAACACCCTAATTGCTCCTATTCATAGACTTTGTTCTCTTTGTTTTCTTTTTTTCCAATTTATTTACTATGTAATTTCTATGATGTCCTATATACATTCATTATTTTTTGTTACAGAACATTACATACAACTACTATTTAAATACAAAACACAGTATATATTTTCAGCACTATTGTATAATTGTCGTAAACATATCAACATTGCAATAGGAGGCTAGCTCATGATAAATAGATGAATTACCTGTTAAGGCGAATGTGCCACCGAGTACAGCACAAAGGCGTGTGACGAAGTGGAGAAAATTACGGCGCTCTTCCCTGATGGTCACCGTGATTGGCGAGAGATCATACAGAAAGTACACGGCTGGATCAAAATAAAAACAAAGGATAAGATATGTATATATATATATATATATATATAAACATCTCCATTTAGCAAAGACTTGCCTGGCCACGCCTTCCCAGACTCGTCTATAGGAGAAAAGTACTCGGTGACGGAGAATTGATTTGTGGGCAGAACTTCCTTTGAGATATACTTGTATTCAGTTGGAACGATCTATATATATCGTATAAAAGCAAAAACAAAAGACGGCGCACCTCACTTATTTATTATTACATAATAATTCATATATTCCAAAATTATTTAGCCATATGTTTGTCGGATAAAATGGGTAAAGATCAGACCTTTATGTAATACTTGAACGTTCCACTTGTTCCATGCAAAATCCGGACTGTATCATCAAGTGGGTTATGAATCCCAGGATACTTCGGCCCAAATGACAATTCGTGAATTACATGACTCACATTGACGTGCGATGACCCGTCAAATATCTGCAGAAGAGCAAACCTTCAAGGTTCAAAATAATTTAAAACTCCACAATTGATTTCATAATCAAATGGCAAGGAATATTGCACAATAAAAGCTTTAGATCATAATAAGCATTCGATGTTACAATGTCAAGAATGAATTATGAGGAGATAAAAACATATTAAAAGATATATGTGGTTAGGCGAATGTTTCAGAAGATTTGGTGCAGAAGTATCGAGGAAATGCTGTGGCAGCAATTGAAGCTGTCGAATATATAGAAATGTGGAAATAATAAACAGAAGAATTCACCATGTCAATCGTATATATCACGACCAACTAAAACCTTTCCTAATTTAGTTAGAATTATAAATCGGATAGGAAAAACCCTGCCCTGCAGCAAGAGGACAATTTAAATAAGGGTTCCGCTAAGTTTACAACACTATAGTTTTCTGCGGTAACAAAGAGGAAAATAGCATGAACGAAAGATTAAACGTTATTCGATATATTTAACGCTTAAATAATGAATTCACTTGGGCATATATTTCTAAGGAAGAAATCGAGTAGAGAGTGGACTTTGCTAGCCTATGCAAATAAATAGCATCATTTTTCACACAAGTCAGATCGAAATGAAAACAAGTTTAGATGGTGTGTGTGTATATATATATATATATATATGTATTAGAGTGCTCACCCTTTGGGCAACAAATATGTTTAACCCGTGAACGGAAATATGGAAGTTTCCAGCAACCCGTTGTACATCCAAAACCCCATATACCTGCAGGAAATAATGATTTATTCTAATCATTTATAAAATTATTGACACCTCCCTAAGAAAAAGATAACGAAATAAGTGGAATTTTCCATAAATAAAATAAAAACGGAAATGACAATGAAAGGGAAGAATAACATACCCGACAACCTTCCCCATTTGCTAATGAATTCTTCACCTTACTGATCAATTTCTCAGCTTCTTGATCGAGATTGTGGAGTTCAGTTTTATGATCAGACTCCTCTTTATGATCTTTGTGGTCATCTGATCAAAGTGGCAAAATGAATTGTGATGTAATCGATTTTTGATTTGTTGAGAAATGCTTTACGAAGGTTAACTCAACACATAACTACACTTCCATACGAAGAACAGTAAAAGCATAAATACTAAACAAGAATGAAGACATGCCTATTTCGAAATTTAAACTTTAAAACTTTCCCATCAACATGCTATTACAAACATAAAAACCCGCGAAGGAACCAGGAAATAAGGCGAGAAATATAAAAAGTAATAAGCATATAGACTTTAATGAAGTCCTAGTGAACTAACCGTGTTGGTGAGCAGCATGTTCTTTCTCCACAAGGTCTGATAAATACTCGGTGCCGGTGATCTGACCATCTTTATTCAAGCGAAGCTGCAAAGACACGTCATTGTAACAATAAAAAAGAGAGAAATTTCAATTTTGTTTATTTTCTAACTGCACACACAAAAAGATTTCAATGGAGCCTGCTAGAAACAAAAGAAAGATCTGCAGTGTTCACAGATTCGCACACACATTAAGGATGCGTTTGTTTCAAGGATTTTGGAAGATTTCCGCTATTCAAACAAAATTTTCGCTCCAAAAATATCAAATCAAACACTTATTTTTCATTTTTTATATTATACTAAAAATCAATTTTACATTCAAAACATCACATCAATATTTATTTATATCATACCATACAACTATTTCAATTCAAATATTATACTATTCAAATCCCAAACAAACCTTCCATATATTTGTGTCGAGATCGACTTCATGTTTCCCTGACATATCTATTGCATCAACACTAAGAACTGCAAGCATAAAACAATTACATTAACAAACGGAAAACGTGAATGCCGCCATAGCTTGCAATAAAGAATAAAGAAGCGCATCGATGAAAAGATTTGAATCGAAGGAGAAGCAAGGACATGCTAATTGTAAATGGATTTTAGATTGCTAACCATCACAAGGTAAAGATGGGAAGGTCATGTTTATATGGATCGGAAGCAATTGTCCACGGGTCAAATCGACCGCCATCTGCAAAAGATTTAATATTTCACACCACAAAACAATTAAGCTAAATAAGAAAATCAAAGCAAACCACTAAATAGTGGGAATCAATGAAATGGAAAAAAAAAAGGCTCCAAGAAAATGACCTGGTGCACGGTGTACGTCGATAGATAATAAGTAACCTCATGGAAGAACAATGTTGCCATGATAACCAGTCCAATGACAGAAACTAATGAGAAACATAAACAGTATCAGAATAGTGATGTAAAAACCAATCATTCAAATGGAAATCATCGAAACAATCATATTTAGTTGAAACTAGTCATGCTCGAGAACCGAGATTTTCAGCCCTCAGTTATCAGTTATAGCAATTCATTTATTTCTAAAAGATAGCCTTTAAATAATCACAATAAGTGTTTGATGCACAGCATTGAAAAATATATATTCATTTCCCTTGTTTGTTTAGATCAGTGAATTTGAAATTGAAAAATGAATAATGAATAATTTCTCATTCTCTATTTTTATTATTCCACCCTATACAGAAAAAAAATCAACAGTAAGTGACAATAAGAAATTATAGTGTGTATTTATTTGGCCTTTTCTACTATTCAATTAGTCCGATTATCTATAAAGATAGAATATTTTCTCTCATAGAATATGATTTTCAGATTATTGTTAAAAAAATCACCAACCTAAACAAATTAACAATATTTCTCCGGACATTTCAACTCCATCTAATGTTTATAGCTAATTAATTGTCTACTCCTAAGTTGAATTCAGTGTTTTACAGAACACACAAAAATAATAATAATCAATTCTCTTTCTCAACCTATATATCATTCTCTACAATTTTATCATCTACGATTCAACCAATTGCTCCAGTAAAAATGGTTCCTGCTTTCTACCAGAGAGTGAATCCTAAACAAATTTAAGAATTCTTAGAACAAACATTCATCGTCAAAATTAGATTTGTTCAAACAATTCTGCAGCTACAAGTTCTTGAATCCAGAAGCAAGCACAACTCAGGATCAACGAAAAATCATTACCAATTCGAAACACAATAAAATCAAATTACCGAGAGCTCCTGTTTTCGTCTTCTGCATCAAATGTTCTTCCGCGCGCGGAAACGCGTCAAGGCTTCTGATAAACTGCTTCAAATTCCCCATTTCTGTCTGTGTCTTTTCGCGTTTCTTTGGCAACCCTAATTCCCCCAGAAGTCAAACGAGCCTGAAATCATTCAACAGGAAGAAAAGCGTGAGGAATTCAGGGGGCAACCAAAGACGCCATGCTAATTCAGGAAGGGAGAAACGCAACATCTAAATTCCCAATCTGTTGCTCATATAATCATCATCCATAGTTCACATACGTTCGTACCAGAGATTCCGAAGGATTACCTTACAGACAAGATGTGCGAAATTTCCGCCTGCAAAGACAACGAAAAATTATGAGCAATAGCAAATGGGCCGTGGATCAATATTATGCAAATATTGGGCTGGCCTTTGAAATAAAAAAATAGCGTCACTTTGCAATTAACCGATTCAATTAGGACTTATTTTATAAATTCCGTCAACTCAAAGGGTGTCTTCACATATGCTTTTTTAGTATTAGGAGTGGATAATATTAAATTATTAAATTTTATGGATAAATATAATACTTTGTCCGTCCATAGTAAATTTTACAAGATTTTTGTATTAAGAAAAATTAGTATTTTATAAATATATAATATAATAAAATGATATAATATTTATTTTATTATTGAAAAATAATGTGAAAATAAAAATTATATGTATTTTAATATTTAATTGAGAGTTATTTTCTAAAAAAAAATGAATAAAAATTTTTGATTTTAATCTTAAAAAAATGAATAAAATTTTTTGATTTGAATAGATTAAAATGATAAATAATAAATTACTAATGGACGGATAGAGTATATATTATATATGTGTTAAAATATTACTATATTATTTTAATAATATTTTAATAATATTTTACAAAAACTCGTGTTACTTAAAATAAATTTAATTAACAAATCCAAAATAAATTTTTAATTTTTTTTATAATAAGTTAGGAAATAATACTCTCCACCATAAAAATTATTTCATTTGGGTCCGACATATATACTAAGAAAAATAAATATTTTATTAAAAAATGATAAATAGTTGAAAATATTTATAAAATTTTAACTAAAAATTAAAGTAACGAAGAGAAATAATGTGATAAAGTTAATGATATTTATTGTAAATAAAAATTGAATGAAATTAATAATTAAATGTTGATTTGTTAACTAGGACAAAATTAGTAATTGGATAAATTTATAAAATTGACTAGAAAATGATAATAAATTTGAAGAAAGAAGAAATTAATATTTTACTTAATAACTTATGTAAAATAATTATTTACATAATATATGTATAAACATATGCAAACGTGGGGGCTAGTTACTCATACGATGTATGCTGATTTATTTAATAATGAAATAATTTATTACAAAATTATTTGTATTATTTTTTAATTTTTTATGTTAAAAGTTAAAAAAATACATAATATAATACAAAAAAAGACTCAGCAAGAGTAAATAAAGAAAAAAAAATTAATATAATATACATATTTCTTATTTTTATATTACTTAACAAATAATTTTCTAAGAATATTTTTTTAATCAAAATACAAAACAAACCCACTTTAGGTTTTCAAAAATAAATAAATAAGTAACATATTTTTAAAAAATATTAATTATTTACATAAATTTTTATAATTATCGTGTAAAAAAAAATCTTTTGATTCAACACAAAAAAATCAGAGTATTTAATAAGTGACTTTTTAAACACAATTTAAAGTGAAAAGTTACGGTGATAATGAGATATAGCTAAAGTTAGGGGGCTAAGGTGCAAATATGTCCCACTCCGTCGTTGGTTTGCGCTCTGCACTCACTATCTGTATATATATGTATAAAGAAACCAGCCCATAGTGGATTTCCGATCTCTCCACATCACCCACCAAACAGCACTTTCCTCCGAATAAAGCTCCCAACCACCGCGGCAGCACGTAACGGCGGCAGAAGCAGAGCCTACCAATGGCGGCAATGGCTCTCCGGAAGATCTCTTTTCTTCGTGTGCGCTCGGTTTCCTCTACTCGCGTGTTCACGGTTTGTTCTACTATTTTGTTTATTTCTATTACTATTGTAATTATCTTTCTTTTTTATGTTTGTTTCTATGTATTTCTGGATTTTATTAATTGATTTTAGTTACTTGCATCGTTGTTTGTGTTGATGTTCGTGTTTTTTGCTGCAGTGTTCTCTCTCGAATCAAGCGGTTAGCCTTAAGGATGCTTGCAGAGTCACTGTAATCAATTCATTAACCGCCACTTTTAGTGAATTTGTTATGTTTGATGATTGAATGACGGAATCGTATGGTATCACTGGATCTGATTTTTTGACAGTGGCCGAAGCAATTGAACGCGCCTCTGGAAGAGGTAGATCCGGAGATTGCCGATATAATAGAGCTTGAGAAAGCACGACAATGGAAGGTGTAAATGCGTTGCCTTTGGATTGGAATTCGTTCCGATTCGCCCTTTTGGATTGTTTCTTAAGGTTTTTATGTGGCATCATGAATTTTAATTACGCTACTTGTGCATTTAGGGGCTAGAACTGATACCATCAGAAAATTTCACTTCATCGTCGGTGATGCAAGCCGTTGGATCGGTTATGATTAATAAATACAGTGAAGGATATCCTGGTGCTAGATACTATGGTGGAAATGAGTATGACTTTTTGCTTCTTATCTCAGTTGTCTTCTTGATTTAATCTGAGGATATTTTTTTTTTTTTTTAAAGCTCGCAACACAGTTCCATAAATGCTTATTTATCCTTCTACTGATTGTGTGCTTATATGCTCTACTACTTGTGGAGTAATGCCTTTAATTTCAACAACATGCATTTATTTATGATGTCACCTTTTTCATGAGTAACACAATAAACCAGATTCTCTATCACCTCTAAAACCTTTTATCTTACTAAAATGAAAGTATTATTTATTTGGCATTGCAGAATCCTTCAACTGTGTGAAAAACAAGCTCAACAATGTAATATTTGTATCGATCAAGTCTTCCTCATTTATCGAATCAATGTTTATTTTTGATTTCTCTATGCTTAAGGTATATTGACATGGCTGAGAGATTATGTCAGAAGCGTGCCTTAGAAGCATTTCAACTAGATCCTGCAAAATGGGGAGGTCAGCACATTCTTATAATGCATTTGTTCTATCTATAATGAATAATCTATAATTTGAAAATCTACAAGATCCTTACTTTCCCACTAAAATTGAATGAGTAAAGAAATTCTTAACGACCATATTAAATTGTAATAGTTAAACACCAGTAAGTTGAATTTGATGAGCTTTAGCCATTCAACTGATTAACTCCTTGTTGAATAATAACAGTACTAAATTCACATATTCTTTATGACTTATCATATGTGTCACAAGCATATGTACTATACATAATATCAGAACTATGAGTCAATGACTTGTTTCCAATGTAAGTCTTTTAGTAAGTAAATAAAAATAATGTAATGAGATGAAACTTGTTCCACTGACAAAGTGCTTGGTGAATTTTAAGCTACTTATGTAAAGTTCTAGTCATTTATCTTTGCAGTAAACGTACAGTCACTGTCTGGGTCTCCTGCCAATTTTCAAGTTTATACTGCTCTGCTTAAACCTCATGAAAGGATCATGGCACTTGATCTTCCTCATGGTGGCCATCTATCACATGGTTATCAGGTGCTTCCAAATTCTCGTCAATGTTCTTAATCTTTCTTTAACGATTTTATACATTTTAAAGTGCTTATTTTATAATTTGGTTGATGACATGTAGACTGATACAAAAAAGATTAGTGCTGTGTCTATATTTTTTGAGACAATGCCGTACAGACTGGATGAGAGCACTGGGTATATTGACTATGATCAGGTAACATATCTCAAACATCTATACATTGTTTTAGTTGTATGAAATACTTAATCGCCTTAGTCATTTTTAAATGGAAGCACTGAAACCTTTTCTTAAAACAGAATGTTACTGGTCCAATTTCAATAATAGGCTATAAACTGTTTCACTAGTACCACGTGAAAAGAATCCAGTCTTGATTGATTTTATTTCATAGTTATTGTTGTTGTAGTTGTTATAATCTTTGCTCTGATGTTTTTGGTTGGATGAAGACAGAACAAATTTATATTCATTTTTCTTTCTTCTAGTAATCAAATGAAAGTAGTTATACTTGCTGTGGAATGAACAAAGTCTCATGCACATTGTATTTAATGTTTAATGTAGAATGAATCAGGATTTTCCAAGTCAGTATAAGCCCACTTTTTTTTAAAAAAAATAATAATTTAAAGATTATTTTATGTTGATTGGATTGGTTGAGGAATAAAAACATCTGTCATTTTGCTTCTTTCCTGACTTTGTCACACTTTCTATTCATGTCACTCAATATGCAATGCTGCTGCTTTTATGCTGTTGCAGGCAAATATCTGCTAACTATCCTAAGTTGCGTTTGTTATCTCTTTTTTGTCTTTCCCCATTTACTGGGGAACATTCATGACCATGAATGTCAAGCTGTTTCCACCGAAAAAAGAAAAAAAGTTCTGCTGTGTTATTGCTCCGTTTTGAGCTATAATATGAAGTAGTTGTTCCTTTGCTACTGTATTTTCTTCAATCCTTCTCGCTGCATTAAAGCGTTGGCTGTATCATTGCAGCTGGAAAAGAGTGCAACACTTTTCAGACCGAAATTGATTGTTGCAGGTGCAAGCGCTTATGCTCGTCTATATGATTATGCTCGGATTCGCAAGGTAACCTGATGAACTACTTTGATGTTAAGAACTGGGTTTTTAGTATTGTATTTTATCTTCTTCCAAACAATATGACATCATGTATTAAAAACTGGTGGTTGTAATTAAACTTGCAGGTCTGCGACAAGCAAAAATCTATCATGTTGGCAGACATGGCACACATTAGTGGGTTGGTTGCAGCTGGCGTCATTCCCTCACCATTTGAGTACGCAGATGTGGTTACAACAACCACTCACAAATCACTACGTGGGCCACGTGGAGCAATGATCTTCTTCAGGAAGGGAGTAAAAGAGATCAATAAACAAGGCCAAGAAGTGAGTTTGTCATGCACAATCATCAAATGCTTACTTTACGGTTAATTTGCACATGAAAGGGTCTATAAGCCTATCAAACTTTTATTAGAAGAAACAATATTCTAACCTACATTTCAATCCAACAGGTTATGTATGACTATGAAGACAAGATTAATCAATCTGTGTTTCCCGGCCTTCAAGGTGGACCACACAATCACACGATAACTGCCTTGGCAGTTGCATTGAAACAGGTTTATTATCATATCCCTTCTAATTTTTGTCGACAATTGTTGTTGCATTTCTTGCAGTCTTATTTTTTCCAAACTCATGCCTTTGTAGGCTATGTCGCCAGAATACAAAGCATACCAAGAGCAAGTCCTCCGTAATTGCTCGCAGTTTGCAGATGTAATACCTCTGATTACTCTCCACAATAAATTTTCATCCCATTCGAACTAATATTTTTAGCCATTTTTTGTGAGTGTTAAGCTGTTGTCTACTTCTATTGGTGATCTTGCTTTTTACAGACTTTGTTAGAGAAAGGCTATGACCTTGTATCTGGTGGGACGGACAACCATCTTGTCTTGGTGAACCTAAGAAACAAGGTAGTAGACCCGTATTTTTTTTATCCCTCTCGACATATGTTAATGTGGAAAGTGCAAAAAGATTCATCGTACATTTAAATAAAATGGCTGTCTAATGGCCAAATCCTTGATTTAAATTAATGTACTTTTGAGTTTGTTCTAAATACTACATTTGTATTTCCCACAGGGCATCGATGGCTCCAGAGTTGAAAAGGTTCTGGAGGCTGTTCATATAGCTGCAAATAAAAACACGGTCCCGGGAGACGTGTCTGCCATGGTGCCTGGAGGCATTCGTATGGGTAAGCCCTCCCGCTGTGATCAATCTTCACATTATCGGGTAACTATTGACATTGTTGAATACTCTCAATAGGTACACCTGCTCTTACATCAAGAGGGTTTCTTGAAGAAGATTTCATGAAAGTTGCAGCATTTTTCGATGAAGCTGTAAAGTTGGCACTTAAAATAAAAGCCGACGCAAATGGTTCCACTCATACTCTAATCCTATTTCACATTTGTTCCACTCATTCCCAATAATTTACCTCTCATTGGGTCTTGTTCTAATTAGGAACAAAATTGAAGGACTTTGTAGCAGCCATGAAGTCGGACACTCATCAATCCGCACTGTCGAAGCTGCGAGTTGAGGTTGAGGAATTTGCGAAACAATTCCCAACAATCGGGTTCGAAAAAAGCACAATGAAATACAAAGACTGATAAAAACCACGCCAGGTATTTTTTATTTTGCCCACTAAATTTTGCATGTTCAATTTAAAAAATAAAAATAAAAAATTCCTATGATCTGAATATGGATGAAAAAAATAGTTTTCTTGTACTCTCAGTTATGAATGTGCTTTTGTTCTTGTTAGCAACTGCAGAATCCTTTGCCCATAAACTGTTCTTCAAATTCAACACATGATATGTTCCAACACATGATATGTTCCGATTGTCGAATAGTTGTAGTCTTGTAGATCTTTTTGGATTACCTTTTTCATTGATCAATCTAGCTATGCTTTCTTAGCAATATTGATTTTGTGTGTGTGTGTAATAATACTGTCGCAAATATGTGAATATATTTATCGATTTAATTTACACAACCCAAAATCCTCTTGCCAAAAGTAGTCAAGGACTAGTGTCTACTGTAAAATATGCATGCATATATTAAACTGAAAATTTCAATTAAATAGTGATTAGAATAATAGATAGCAATAATATAGTTTTGGGAATATATTAAACTACATTTATTTTAGCTATATAATATATATTGAATCCTAAAGCATCCCTTATAATTATTATCTCGACTCCATTACCTCATCTTTCTATCTACATCTAGAGCTGTTAAACGAACCGGCTCGATTAAAGCTCGTTCGTGAACATTAACGAGCCGAGCCGAACAGCATAAACAGGCTCGTTTGGTTAACGAACGAGCCCGAGCTTTTTTTCGATTAAATAATATATTTATTATAAATATTATATATACATATAAAATTATAATTTATAAATAAATAAAATATTAATTTAAAATATATAAATAAAATGATTTTAAAATTTCTTTTTAATTTATATATAAATTTAAAAAAGTGAGACAAAAACGAACTCAAACGAGTTTAATTGAGCCTAAACGAGCCGAATACGAACACGAATATGAGTTCAAACAATAAAAATTCTTAACGAACAAACATGAGCCTTGTTTGCGAACATTAACTAACACTTAAAATTTGGCTTCGACTCGGCTCGTTAACAGCTCTATTTACGTCATATTCATCTAACATTTCAATCTGAGACTGATTATGGCCCAAATTAGGGTTATTCAACACCATGTTGATTAGCCCAATCAGTATATTACAATGATATTTACAATACATAGTTGTTGTCTAACATCATGTGTATATCATTAGCATGTGTCATTGTACTAACACGTGGTATATGCTGAGATAAGTAGTTACATATGTTAGATGAGTTATTATCATGTGCCACAGTTAGTTTAATTATATTAACATAAATTATACATGTTGTATATTTATTTATTATATGTTCTTCGGCTATATTTGAAGTGGTGTGAGCACCATGGTAAATATATTGATTCAGCAAACTAACAATAGCCTTTAACATTCGCACCAATACTTTAAACTCATTATCTTCGTCAAGTGGACCTACATATTTTTGCACTGTGTTTGTCAGACACATTCAATTCTTTCAAGAGGTAATATATGTCTAAAATTCATATCTCCTCGTCCCAAAACAATAATCTCATTTTTATTTTCGTTTGTTCCCAAAATAATAATTTTATTTTCATTTTTGATATGTAGCTCTTTACTATTTTACAAAATTATCTTCACTTTTCACAATAATGACATAAAGTAGGGACATTTTGGTCTTTTAAAATTATTTTTACGCTGAATATCAATATAATATTAATATTTCTTAGTTTTTGTGTCCCTATTGTTTTGAGAATATGGAAGTATTTTGAACAAGAGGTAATGAAAAAAAACTGAAATGTAATGATAGGAAAGGTAATGGTAAGAAATGTTCTAATACACAAGTAGGCTCAACTTAATGCAACTTTTTCAAAGATGATGCCTTGAACAATAATAATAATAATAAATAGTAGAAGAATTGTTGTCCATTGAATAAAATATAGTAGTAATATTAATATAGATGGATGGGTTGATAAGGTAGAAGACAAAAAGTGTGGCCTAACCAGACCAGACCTTCTCTTGTTTTTTCATTCTGCATCTTGACAAAGTCTAGTTTGTAATTATAATATACGCTTCTGTCTGCTGCACTTCTCAGTTACACCTCCTTTATTGTTATCATATCTGCATCCAATCTATATATAAAATATAATTGAATACAACTTTCATATATATATATAACCAAATTTCATGAGAATAATGTAAATTTGGTATGATAGGCACCATTCTTTTTTATTTTACTCTTGTATATGTGCTTGGTGTTCATGTGTGCATTGTAAAATTTTTACATGTTCGTAAATAATATTGAAACTTAAAAAAAAAAAAAAAAAAAGGTAAACTGTTTTTTTTAGTCCCGTAAATGGACTCCTTATCATTTTAGTCTCGTAAGTGGTCAGTAAGGGGTCAGCTATGGAACTAAAATGACAAGGGGTCAGTTATGGAATTAAAAAAATAAGTTTACAAAAAAAAAAAAAAAAGTATAAAACATACATTATCAAAGTAGAAAATTCAAGAAAAAGCTTCAAGGTGACAGTATTATCAAGGGTGTGCAATTGAGGATAAAACATATTTGAAGTAATCATCCATTTAGATACATAGTTTTGGAGTTTCGATTTATTTTTTAATAATAAAAATTGAATATTTGATATCTTGTAAAATGTTTGTATGGGAGCTTGTTTTGGAATTTCGATTTTAAATTTAATTGTTTGATATGAAATAAATAAATATTATATTATTTCTTTTGATTTTTTTTTTTTTTTCGAAATAGTAGAGATTCATAAAAATCCTCCAAACAAACATTAACCCATCAAAATTTATATATATATATATATATTCACAAAAAAATATGTATTTTTTTATTTATAATAAATAATTTTTACATACTTCTTCATCTGTATCGTATTTTTTATTTATAAATTTATAATAAATAATTTTTACATACTTTTTCATCTGTATCATTCAACACTACATTTATTTACAAATGGAATATAAAAATTTCACAAATCATTATCTACCAGAATGAATATCCTTCTTTAAAAAAAAAAAAAAAATTCAAAAAATAAATATATAATGTAAACAGAGCTCATATTATTTGTAGTCAATCTATATAATCACTACATACCCCAATTCAATAAACAACATTGTAATGACTCAACCGACATTATAATGACTTAACCAAGTCAGTCAGTCAGTCTAAGATCCTATTATCTACAGCCATAGTCAAATTTTAAGTGTTCGTTAACGTTTACGAACAAGACTCGTGTTCGTTCATTAAGCTTTCGAGCTCGACTCGTTAAGAATTTTTGTTGTTTAAGCTCGTGTTCGGCTCGATTAAGCTTCGTTTGTCTTATTTTTTAAAATTTATATATAAATTATAAACAAAATTTAAATTATTTTATTTATATATTTTATATGTATATATAATATTTATAATAAATATATTATTTAACGAACGTTCGCGTACAAAGCTTGGACTCGTTCGTTAGCCAAACGAGCATGTTTATGTTGTTCGACTCGGCTCGCTAACGTTCGCAAACCGAGCTTTAACCGAATCGAGCCGAGCCGAACCGAACCGAGTTCACGAATAGCTCGGTTCGTTTACCGGCTCTACTATTAACAATCTTAATCCACTTGTACACAAAATTCACTAATCTTGAAATTAAAAAGACTAATTCCATAGTCTTAGTTTAAAGCCTCCCTGCTCTAATACCAAATCCATGTATAAGATCTCCCATTCCATTCCAAGGCAAGCATATTCCAAAATACAGAGACTTACAGACACTGGAAATGTTAAAAAGCCCCTGTCTGATTGCCTGCCTGCCTGCCTGCATTTCACTCTCACACACAAAATAAAAATTTAAAGAACACATATATAACAAAACCCCATTCACATATTATATTATATATGTATGTATATAATATAATGTGGGTGATGTAGAAGCCACTTATTTTGGATAATAAATAAATGATGATGATGATGGTGAAATGGATTCCTCATCAGAATACCTACAATCCCCTCCACAAAAATACAACTAATTCTCCACAGAACATAACACAGGTAGAAAGAAAAAGAGTTACTGCAGCTCAATAATATTTCACACACACACATATCATACTTTTTCTTTTTGAAATTAATCTTTCTAATTCTTGGTGTTTTTGGCAGCTACACACACTTTCCTCCATACCCTGCATTCCTAACCAGTGCCTGTTTTATATCTTCTGTATTCATCATTGCCCTCTTCTTCAATTCCTACACCCAAATAAAAAGTTTCAAAAAATCAAAATCAAAAGCTGCCATTTTTCTGAAAAAATGGTTCTTGGGAGGTTCCGGATCTCCAACACCATATGCATCCACACCATCCATGGTGTGGGCCCCCACATAAACAGAAGGTGTAGATTCATCAGGTTCTCGAGGGAGGGAGGGAGGGAGGAACCATCCAAAATTCCAAAGTGATATATATATATATAGTTAGAAACTTTAGGGAAATCTCTCTAATTTGCAGTTAATAATTAATTAATTAAAAAAAAAAAAAAAAAAGGATTTACCTCTGAGCAAGAAGCTTGAAGTGCAAAGTCATTAAAGCAGCTGATAATGCAGTGCTTAAAGTCGAGGCCTAATGCCTCTAGTGTGGTCACTGTTGATAGCAACAATCCAGGCTTTCCCCCACAGCATATCTCCACTCTTGTGTCCTCATTTCTCCTCTCCACTTCAAACTGCACAAACACATTCAATTACACCATTTTTGTTTCCATTTGGGACAAAGGGCTTTTCTTCAATTTATGTAAATGTGTCTTGTGGGGTGGTTTTTGGAGGATGGGTGGTGGGGCTTCAAAATACACAACCACACTAAATTCACCAATTTGCTTCCATTTGGATTAAAGGGTTTTTCTTGTATTCATGTAAATGTGTGTGGGGAGTGGTGTGGGGAATTCACACACACACACAATTCACCAATTTGTTTCCATTTGGATTAAAGGGTTTTTCTTGAATTCATGTAAATGTGTGAGTGGACTGTGGAGTGGTGTTGGGAGGGTGGGTATGTAGGGGTTAGGGTTTCAAAATGCACACAAACACACATGGATTAACCATTTTGTGTCCATTTGGAATAAAGGGCTTTTCTTGAAGTTATGTTTTTGTGGGTGGAATTCAAAATGGCTGGTACATTGATTCACTGATTTGTAAACAAAGGGTGTTTCTTGAATTTATGTGAATGTGGGGTGGGTTACCTTGGGTGAATTTCTGACAAGAACTTCATTAGGTTTGACATCTTTGAAAATGCTCATAATCCCCATCTGATCTGACCCTAATTGCATGTCCTCTTGCAATGAGTTGATTCTTTCCAACAGCTCCTTCATGTAGTCTATGGTGTCCCCAAGAATGGATGTTCTATCCATCTGCCAAAAGTTAACAAACTTTGTCTTCAATTACAGGCTTTTGGACGGAAAAAAAATTAAAAATTACAGCTTTTGGAAATTCAGAAAAAGTGAAAAATTAAAATAAAGGTGTTTCTTCGTTCTTGAAAGGTCCAGGACTTTCTGAACCGGATCCATCTGCACCGTTGCTTTGTTAAATAAGCGGTGCGATTCATCCTGACTTTTGAGGTCCCGGGAGGTTTCGAGAATTAGGGATTATATAATTAATTTAATTGATTAATTAATTACTTACCTTACTGATTTTGGGGACGACTGACCGGAGCATCGAGAGGCGGTCGTTCAGGCGCTTCCTCCGCCGCCGCTCCGCCATGAGATTCTTCGACGGCTGCCCGGAGACCTTCTTCACTTTGCACTTCCTCAAATCCGGCGGCGGAGAAATCCCAACATCATAAGAACCTGCGGCGGCGGCGGAGGCGGCGGGCATTTCGGGCAGGGACTCCACTTTACAAGGAGCTCCGGCGGGTCCGACATTCGGAGCTCCGTTTACAAACGGGTCGCCGCCTTCCCCGTCGTCACGTGCCGACGGCGTGCCGTAGTAGCTGTACTCCTGATCTTGGTAATTCGGGAGGTCCAGGCTCCCGAAGTCCGGCGGCGACAGGTCGTCGGCGAACGGAGCGCCGCCGCCGCCGGTGTAGGGGAGGAGCGCGGAGTAGTCGTCGTCGAAGGGAGTGTACGGATCGGCGGTGGGGATGGGGAAAGCAAGGGAAGTGTTGTTGTAGGAAGAATCCACGGCGGCGGAGGTGGTGGCGACGACGGCGGCGGCGGCGGCGGCGGTGGCGGTGGGCCAGATGAAGTTGGGGTTGAAATAATTATTGTAATCTGAATTGGGGAAGGCGTAATTGTCGTGATCGGAAGTGTCCCGGAGAGCCAAGAGGTCTTCTAGAAACGTCCGTTCATTGTTTGTGATGTACTCCATTTCCCTCTCTCTCTCTCTAGAATTTCTTCTCGCTCTAGAATACACAGACGCAGTGAGTGTGTTTGTGTGTGTTGAGAGGTTGAAGAAGACAATGGGGGAATTCTTTGTTGTTCTTCTTCTCTCTCTATCTTTTCTTTCTCTCTCTAAATTAACAAAGGCTCGAAGGAATGTGGATGGAGGCAGTTGCTGCCTCTGCCTCCTATCCTATACATACATAGATATATATATTTTATTATATATAATATTTATAATGACGTATATATGTATGTATGTATATATTTGTGTGTGGGTACAAATTGTGGTGTGGGGTTACAGTGCTGTAAAATAACGAGAGTTAAATAAAAAATTACTCCGGTAAAATGATATAGTTAAGGCCACAAAAATTAAAAGATGCAAGTAGAAAGTAAAATAAAGTCCTCTCTCCAATCCATCACAATTCAAGCTATTTTTATTTTTGTTTGTTCTATAATAATTGATATTTTTTTATTTTTAGTAAAAATTATTAAATCAAAATATATTTAACAAATATAAATCAACTTAATTAACTAGACAAGATACAACATCATAAATGAAAAATGAAGTAGGATCCACTTAAAACTTCTTTATTTCTATATCTCTTAAAAAAATATATATATTTTATTTATATTTAAAACTACACATCTTTTATAAAATTGATTTATGTTAATTATAAATAAACAAAAATATTTTTTTATTTACTTGTATTATAAAAAAAATTATTCTCTTGATATTCATATTGCATATATATTTAAATTGATATATGATGTTTAAATATTTAAGTATATATTTTAATTTTTTTAATCATATATATTAAATTTACTTTAAAATTATAAATATTATTAATTATATAAAAAATAATATAATAATATCATAACTCATTATTATTAACTAATTAAATATATTTATCTTAAATATTGTGTCCCTAATCAAAATAGTTTAATTTCGATGGAACAGAGTGAGTATAAGAGTGAGTATTATACTAAAATATTTATTAAAATATAATAAAAAATAGTAAGATAAATAAAGAAAGATAATAACAACTTAGTTATTATTTATTAAAGTTATGATAATAAAATTGTAGATAAATAAAATTATTTATTATGAATTGATTAATTTGTTAATACATAATAATAATAATAATAATAATAATAATAATAAATGCAATTTCAATCGTATAATCAATAATTATTTTTATCTTTTATTTATTTTGCTAACAAAATATATCTTATATGTTTTAAAAAAAAAATTATTGTATCATTTCTGTCATTTAACTGCGATATAATGTTCACACAAAGACTATCTCAGGTGCATCTAAAAAAATAAAAATAATAATTTTTGCAAACACTTTTGTCAATGAGATAATAAAAGATAAAAGTAGTAATTAAATATAAGTATATGATATTTTTTATAATTTTTCTTAATAATAATAATAATAATAATAATAATAATAATAATGTTAAAAAATATTATTACCTCCAATCTAATTTAATTCTCCTCTTGGCGCGGATATAAGGTGATGTTATTATTGTATATACTCCCTCTGTCCAATTTTTATTATCTTAAAGTATATTTGTACGGTTTTTTAGGTGATTGTCTTTTTGTTATGAATTGACAAATTTGTCATTAATTGTACGGTAGAGATTAAAAGTAATAAATGAATTGAGGGTAAAAATATAAAATTTGTGTTTAAAAAATGAAATAGGACAATAGTTTTTGGACGTTTCAAATAGGAAAGTAGGACATTAGTTTATGGACGGAGGGAGTATAAAAATTTAGTAGGAGTTTAATTAATAAATAATTAATATATATAAATAATTATACATTAAAATTAAAATAATTAATCAATTTAATTAAAATATAAAATAATAAAAAATATAAAATATAAAATATGATATAAAATATATGATGAACATAAATGAAAAATATGATATGTATATTTTTAATATTAATATTATATATATAGTACACAAATAGACAAAAGAACATTCTTATCCTTGTATATTTTGTAATTTAGTTAAATAAAATTATGATACTCCGTCCGTCGCAATATAATAATCTTGTTTACTATTTTTGTCTGTTTCAAAATAATAGTTTTATTTCCATAAAAAATCATATCATTATATAACTACCCTATTTTTTCATTATTATTACATAATTGTTATTACTTTTTACACTAATATACTCACAGGAACAAAAATATTTTTTACCTATACTTTTTAGTCACTATTAATATAATATTAATATTTCTTAAATCTCATGCTAAACTCAACTAAAATTATAGTTTTGGACTGAGGGAGTAGTATTTTATAATAGTTTTTTATGTGAGTATAAAATAAATAGATTGATTTAGACGTATTAACCCAATAAGAAAAATAATATATATAATTTATTACTCACATAAATATATATATATATATATATTTGTCTGTTTATTTTTATTTTTCTTATTGTGCAATTTTTACTATTTCATATAAAAACTATGATTATTTTTTTTATTAAAATAGTATATTTAAAACCATTAATTAAAACAAAAACTAAAATAAATTATCAAATAAATATATCGATTATTGCTTAATATCACATTAAACACAATTTATTTTATTATTATATTTAAAATATACATTACCTCGTAAATAAAAAAATTTATATCTTTTTCCATTATTATTTTAAACCAAAAAAAAAAAAAAATTGTCTGAAAAATCTGACCCACATTTGTGTGTGAGAGCTGACCGGTCAGCACTACTCAGCAGTCAGCTGCTCCCCCTCTTCTTATTTATTTATTTATATTTATATTTATTTATTTATACAAGAAGACTTGCAGAGCTGCAGTGCTAATACTTGCACTAGATGCACATGTTTGTATCTATATCTATACATACATATGATATATACAGACACAGATTTGCATGCATTCCAGTTTCTTGCATTGTGTGCATAAAGAAAGGCTACTGTTAAGGTGTGTTTGTTTTGTCTTTTGATTTGAAGAAGAAAAAATTTTGATTTCAGGAATCGAAAATTGTGTAGATAATAATCTCTTTTATTCCAGTTAAATTGTCCTATTTAGCTTAGGTACGAAGTTTTAGATATTATATAATTAGTAAATAATTAATAAGTATTAATGAAAATAATTATATGATTTAATAAAAATAATTATATTCCCTCCGTCCCGTAGAAAGGTTACCGTTTACTTTTTGCACGTAAATTTTTTAATATTAGTATTATATTTGATTGTATTGTAAAAAAAAAATACCCTTATTAGAATTGTGTAATATAAAAATAATTACATTTGTGTAATATAGTGTAAGTTAAAAGAGTATTTATTATATTAGGTAGATAATATAATTATTAAATTAGAAAATTGTAACTTTGTTTTGGGACCGACGGAAATGGAAAATGACAACCTTTCAATAGGACGGAGAAAATAGATTAATATTAAGATAAGTAAATAATTTAATTAACATTAAAAAATATAAATTATGAATTTAAAAATATAATTAAAATGTATAAGTATATTTGTAAAAAAAGAAATAACAAATTATGTAGAATATGTAATATAAAGATGAAACAAATTAAGTGGAGTGGAGAGAGTATAAAATAATAAGTGTGTAGTATATTATTTTTTAACAAAATATATTGAAAGTTTTTTTTGGAAGAAGAAACAACAAATCTACTGTTCCCGAGCATAAATCTTTTTAAAGTTTTTATGTTATTTGTTAATTTTATTTTGAAATGATATATCAAATTAAATATTTATTTTATCTTATAAAATATTATATCAAATATTTAAATATTTATTATTTTTATAAACTTTCGCAATTCTAAAACTTAAAAAATTAACATGGGCTTCATTTTGATATGAGTTTTGAAAGTTTTTGAATTATTTTGATAGCTTTTAATAATACTAAAAATTGGATATTTAATTTGGTATGTTTTCTAATATATAAGGAATAATTATGAAAAATATTGCTTTGGTAATATTTAAATTTTTTTGAACTTTAAATTGTGTTGAACTTAAATTTTTATTTTTTTTGTATTTAAAAGTGTGTTCTTTTCATGAAAAAGAACACATTTTCCCCTCTCTAAAAAAAAATTAATATATTATACAAATCAATTATTTGATTACTCGATAAAATAAGTCACACTGGGCGAATCATGTGTGACAAACAAGATCTTAAGACGTCAAAATTTAAATCCTTAAACACATGACATCACAGTTATAAGTCCATCCTCACACTACCAGGTCGTCCCGTAATAGTCATCACTTACAGGACGACAACTTTTTTTTTTTTTTTTTCCATTTATATAGCGGTTAAAGAATAAAAATAAATTATTATTTCGAAGTTTGAACGGTTAATTTCGTGTTGTTAAAATTGTTCTGGACTTTACGTTGTATTGAACTTAAAACTTTACTTTCTTGTATTTACACTTTGTTTTGTTAGTGTTCAAATTTTTTTCTTGGTGTTTAAATTCTTATGAGCTTTAAATTGGGTGAATTTAAAACTTTTTACTTTCTTGGTGTTTAAAATTTATTTTTTTACTGGTTAAGATTTCTTGACATTTTAGAAACTCTAATTTATATTTGATTTCGTAAATATTAAATTGTTGTGAAAGTTAAATTGAATTGTTGCTATTTTGAATAAAAATAAAATAAATTTTTATCTCAAAAGTTGAAGTTGCTATTGTGATATTTCAATTGTTTATGAAATTTAAGGTAATTGAACTTAAAAGTTTATTTTATTGGTGTTTGAATTTTCCATTCCTCTTTCTTTCTTATTATTCCATTTGTCCTATAAATATAAATATAGTCTTAATTGAGTTAGACATGGGATTTAAAGAATATTAATATTATATTAGTAGTTAGTAAAAAATATAGATAAAAGATTTTTTTGCCTTTATGAGTGTATTAGTGTAAAAAGTAGTGGCAATTATGTACTCCCTTCGTCCCATGTAATATGAGTGTATTACTGTAGACACGAGAATTTAGATAAAATATAATTAGTAAGTAATTAATAAACATATTAGTAAAAATAATTATTATTTAGTAAAAATAACTATAGATTAAGATTAAGATAAGTAAATAGTTTAATTAAAATTAAAAAAATTATAAAATTTAAAATGCGATTAAAGTGCATAATTATATTTTCAAAAATAGAAAGGACAAGTTATGGGACGGAGGGAGTAATAAA